GAGAGAGAGAGAGAGAGAGAGAGAGAGAGAGAGAGAGAGAGAGAGAGAGAGAGAGAGAGAGAGAGAGAGAGAGAGAGAGAGAGAGAGAGAGAGAGAGAGAGAGAGAGAGAGAGAGAGAGAGAGAGAGAGAGAGAGAGAGAGAGAGGAGAGAGAGAGAGAGAGAGTCGACTTCACTGGACCAGCGGTTAGGGTTGGCCGGTGCAGCACCTTTCCTGGCAGATCGGGAGACACGTCTCCACCCGCGCCACCCTTCGGCTGCCGCGGAGCTCCGCCGAACAGCGAGGGTGGTAGTTTTCATACTAATGCTGGGCTCGTCGTGGGGTGGCCGTCTGAGTTGTTGATCAGCGCACGTAATGACGCATGACTGTCGTTGGCGCACCACCACTGGCAGAAATGGGGATGAGCGGCGACCGCTGAGGATAGCAGAGGAGTCTGGCAGGCCGCTCCAGCCTTGCCCTGTTACCCCAGTCTCAGCAGACGGGCCAGCCACTGCGCCCGCAGAGCGCGAGCGTTCGGCCCGATTACTCAGCGGCGAGTGGGCTATATATAGCTGGGCGCATGGGCCGCCGCCGACCGCCCTCCTGTCGGCGGCGGCGGTAGGTAGGTGGGGCTCGGCGGACTCCTCTTGCGGGACCATGCGTGCTGTTTGTTCTGGCCGTCAGTCGACACCGATTCTCCACGCAGGAGGGCGGCCGGCCTGGCAGGCGGGAGAGCGCTACTCAGCTGTCTCAGGCACGCCACGCTCCAGTCATGCTATACTGAATGAATGAACATGCTGCTCGGATTGGTTTGCGCTGGTAGCTATGGGCTCAAAGAACAAGTAAAGCTTGTTGCACGTGCCCTGAACTTACCACCCAAGCTTTGTTCCAATTCATCAGAAAAGAGGGACGATGGAAGCGATAGGTAGCTCCCCCACCTCCCTCACCCCCCCCCCCCCCCCCCCACTGCAGCTCCGGAAGCATGGCATTTGATGGTAGCGTCACGGTGCCGCACGGAAAGACCCAAGGTAAAAATCAATCCCATTAATTCCTCTGAAGATCCGCCAGCACTGCATCAACGCTGCTACCTCCGACCTTTCCGCCAGTGTTGCCGGTTAGGAGTTCCGTGTTGCCCTGCACGGCAGGTCCGCCGCTGGCACGTCAACCCTCTTTGGCTCGTTGTCAGCTGACCTTTCCATATCGTTCGGCGAACAATACGTTTATGCTCGTGAATTGGTACCTAGTGTTTCTGGATAACCTCTATATGTTGCCTGCCCCCGGCGATGTTGAAAAGTACTCCTCTGGTGGAATACGAACTCATATGCCTCCACAACGCAGGCGGCGTCATCTGGTTGGCATGTCGCACCGTGCTCGTCGAGTGGCGGACGTAGCTCACGTAAACCCAGTTGCCGTCTGCATTTTGCCTGGTGATGCCGGCGCGTGCAGGGCGTCCCCGTCAGCTGCGGTTGCACGCGTTGCACGCGTGCACGCGTGCACGCGCCACGCCCGTGACCCGCCAGCGCCGGGCGGCCCCGCCCGCCCTGCCGGCCGCGCCGCCCTGCGCCGACCCATTGTGACGGCAGGTCGGCCGCGGCGCGGAGCGGCACGGCACGGCACGGCTGCGGCCGGCGTCATTTTTAGCCGCCGCGTCTGGCCGGCCGATCACGGCCGGTAACCGACACGGCCGACGTGGCTGTGAAAGATGGCGCTCAGCCTGTTCACGGACCAAGCCGTGCTGGGCGGTGTCCGTCACGCGTCTGTCCCCGACCGACCCACGGACAGGGTCGGTCGCGGCTCAAGACACGCGGAGCACCGTTCGCCGCGGTCCAGGCCACTCTGGCGTGGCGGCTGGCGCGAACTAGAACACGCCGATGTCTAGAGCCCTGATATCTGATGTCTGGATGTCTGATGTCGAGATGTCTGATGTCTGATGTCGGTGGCTGTGACCTAGCGTATGGCCCGTGGACACAGCGCTATCGGTGATGACGGGAAGGCCCTGCGGCTGTTTTCGGACGAGTGGTGGCGCCACTAAAGGCCGTGGACACGAGTTGCCTCGTCGTCACCGAGCCGGCTGCCGTACTCCTGACCTCTCCGGTCTGAGAGCAGCGCTCGCCCGGCTCCGGTCCGGGTTCAGGGCTGCCAGACTGACAGCGCACGCCGCGCGATAACGCGTACGTCCTGTCACTCGTGCCACCCCAAAGTTGTGAGGGGGAGGCGGGGGGGGGGGGGGGGGCGGGTCAGGGGCGATCGAAGTGGGGCGGAGCCGAGAGCGGCCGCGCGATCGATGGCGGCCGGCAGTGTTGACCCCGCCTGTATGCTGAGAGCTGCGCCCGATTACTGCAGAACTCTGACGCGTTACTGCCAGGCTTGGTACTAACGACCGCGTTGGGCAGGCCAGTCGGTTCCCCCCGCCCCCCCTTTGGCGTTCTGTGTGATATTGATCCTCGTGCGCGACGAATGCATTTGAAAAGACGTGGTCGTGTGTGCAGCTCACCGAAATGCATGCATGCTGCAAGGAACGCGGTCCGTTGCTTCAAAGACCATTTCTTTGGACCCGTCGGTCATTGTTAAGTTGTGCGGCCCCACGTCCCGATCATGACATGTGCATAATAACGTAAGGGGTGGGGGGGGGGGGGGGTACTATTGCGCCGGGAGTCGTGCCTTGATCGGCGTCTGCTCTTCTGATGACCGTGTCCTATGCTTCTCCTGCCTTGAATTCCCAGCGGACTCGTTGTTCACCTTTACACAGTGGAAACCCACCCGGCGGCGCTGGCTTTTTTCGACAGCATAAGAGCTGTCGTCCCCAGAGATCAGTGCCGCCTTCATTATGGATAGACAACTGCCCCTCGCCTACCCGTCCCTTCGGTAGACCTTTGGGTTTTAGTTGCTGAACATTGCCAAGCGGAGGTTGAGCTCAAAGAGGCGTGAGTGCACGGGCTCCACCGTCGAGAGAATGCGGCATGTCTTGCAGTTGCGTGCCCTGCTGCATAGCTCATATTGAGATCAGAGCCTACTCTTTGGGCGTTTGATCTATTGCTGTGTTAACTGTCGAGATGAGAGTCTCCTCGGTTTTACATTTTCCTTCAAAATTTCGTCGGTGACGTTTCCGGCCACTGTTAGTGTCCGTCTTCCGTTATGAAGATGTTTGATCTTTCAAAGAGAAGGAAAAAACATAGGACTGGTTTTGTTGCAAATTGCCATGTGTATCTCTTACAATTTCGATGCTGAGACAACCGTGTGCTCAGAAAGTCACGTTAAGCAATGTTCGTAACTCTCAAACGTTCACCGCGTTCTTGTTCATATTTCAACCTGGAACGCTTCCTTTGTGGCAAGAGCCCAAGCACTGCCTTGGACGACATGAGATGTGTAAATTGCCGCGTAACGGCTGGGCTCCCTGTCATGTATCGGTGCTTGCTACGCACTTGAGTATTTTTACTCACGCGTTCAGGCCGGATTAGCATGGAGACTGTTTGTCACAGGCCTGTCCCGTCTGTGTGCCATATGTTGTTACTCACGCGTTTAGGCCAGGTCTCAGGCCGTGAGACATGGCATCGAGACCATGCGTCACGGCCTGTTCCGTCCGTGTGCCATATGTTGTTACTCACGCGTTTAGGCCAAATCTCAGGCCGTGACACATGACATCGAGACCATGTGTCACGGACTGTTTCGTTTGTGTGCCGTGTGCTGTTACTCACGCGTCTAGGCTAGATCTCAGGCCGTGACACATGGCATCGAGACCATGTGTCACAGGCCTGTCCCGTCTGTGTGCCATATGTTGTTACTCACGCGTTTAGGCCAGATCTCAGGCCGTGACACATGGCATCGAGACCATGTGTCACAGGCCTGTCCCGTCTGTGTGCCATATGTTGTTACTCACGCGTTTAGGCCAGATCTCAGGCCGTGACACATGGCATCGAGACCATGTGTCACGGCCTATTTCGTTTGTGTGCCGTGTGCTGTTACTCACGCGTTTAGGCCAGATCTCAGGCCGTGACACATGGCATCGAGACCATGTGTCACGGCCTATTTCGTTTGTGTGCCGTGTGCTGTTACTTACGTGTTCAGGCCAGACTGGCGTTGAGACCATGTGTCACGGCCTATTCCGTCTGTGTACCATGCGTTATGAGACGGCACTACGGTTTGAAGGGCGGGCTCATTGTCATGTTTCCAATGGCTACCTGCGTTCCAGGTGACATCAATTCCTTCGGTTCGGTTGTTACCAACCCAATCGCTTTTTGGTGCTGCATATAGGTACTTGCGACTGTATTAGCCTGAACCGTTCGGTCGAACTGTTGGTAAATTTTGCATTACTGCTGAAATATGTTATAAAGAAAACAAAGAACATCACGCATTGAAGCCTAAATCAGCAAACGTATCTATTATACAAAGCCTTTTTGCCTAAGCCGTACAGGCCTGAAGATGTTCAGCATCGTGTGATGGCGAAGGGGCCAACGGTGTTTTCATACTAAGGCTGGGTCCCCTTCAGCTGCCAAGACCCGGTCCGGCTGCCAAAGAAAGCTGCTGTCCCATGTGTCGAGTGATTTATGACCGCAGAGTCGCTCGTGCGAGGATGATGTGCAGGACAACTTTCGTGTTACAGCCGTGATCATGTGAACTCCGTAGCTCATCGACATATGCGCTATAAACATCGTTTTTTAGTTCTAAGGTGTCGCTTTGGTTTTGCTGCAACTGATGGAGGTGCAGTATTGATGTTGCCTCGCTGGCCTGGATGTCAGTCGAAGTCGAAGCGACAGGGGCACTCGAAGCGACAAGGGCGCCGCGGCGCAGAGCCGGACATGGCGTCACACCGCCGCCACCAACAGCGTCCGGACCGTAGCCGTGTACGGGCGGCGGCGCGGCGCGTTTGCCGCTCTGCGCGGGCGGCGGCCGCTGCAGCCGGCGTGGCCGCGGCTGGCCGGCCGAGCTGGTAACCGCGAGCCGAGCTGGTAGTCCAGCAGGTAACCGCGACTGGCCGGCCGAGCGCATCCAGCAGGTAACCGCGACTGGCCGGCCTCCCCCCAGGTCTCGCGGCTGGTGATCCTGCACGAGGAGGCCGAGGATGGCAACGCCATGCCCGACCTGCAGCGGCCCGTTCAGGCCGTCTCCAGGGCTGTCAGCAACCTGGTCAAGGTCAGTCAGCCGCCGCCTCGGCGGGTCGAGGCGGGCTACCTGCCGACTTCACCGGTCAGGGTAGGTTACCTGCCGTCGTCGCGGGTCGAGGTCAGTCAGCCGCCGCCTCGGCGGTTCGAGGCGGGCTACCTGCCGACCTCACCGGTCAGGGTAGGTTACCTGCCGTCGTCACGGACCAAGGTCAGATAGCTGCCGAATCCGTGTGTCAAGGTGAGGTAGCAAGCGCCTTGACGGGACGAGGTAAGCCAGTGGCCGCGTTTAACTGCTGATGCCTGCGGGATGCCGGATCTGAAGGGATGCCGTCTGCCGTCCGATAGGGCCTTTAGCCCCAGGTCCAGTCCTCCCGCTCTAACGGCTGCTCAGACGGGTACGGGTGATTTGGGAGAGTTTCACCTTCGCCTGAAGACGTGAAGGGAACTCGCCAGTTGTCTCAGTTAGTTGGGTCATCTTATCAATTAATGGCCAGAGACGTAGCTACGCTTTATGTGCCACTTGGGTTCATTTGTGTTTTAGTGCCAGTTGTGCGTAGCCAAACACGTGGTCATGTATGGTAAACATACAGAATATGGTGAACCGGGGAACCAGTGACCAATGTACCATGCGTAATCCCCTCCGCCATGTTAAGCTTAAAGTGCAGTTAACTACATATGAATATGTAAGTATTGACTACACACCCATGTAAGAAAAGTGCAGTTGACATTAGCGTGCCTCGTGACTTGACCCCTCCGCCGTGAGCTGGTCCTGACCTGAGCCTGGCGGTCGTGAGCAGGCGGTGACCTGAGACTCCCCGCCTTGGGTTGACCTGACCTGAACCTCGCCCCAGGCATTGTAATGCATTAAGTCCCTCCCGAAGCCCAGCTGGTTAGAGCGCCTGCGTTCAGATTTACCCAGCCGTGGCGGGGTCGGTTCGACCCGTGGCGGGTTGGGTGGGTACAGCCGGTGGGAGCGGTTGCGCCAGAAGGTCAGGTGACGTCAGAGGGCAGGTCAGACTGTTCAGAGCATTTGGCACATCAGGCTTCCGTCGCAAAGTTCTCCCGGCATCACGTAGAATTTCATGATCGGATGATGAAGTCAGGCTCACGCCACAAACACCACTTAGCGTTGTCGCTGATGCCTAGGTCTACTCAATCGAAAAAAATACGATTTAGTCCGGGCCTTTGAATTGATGGACTTCCGGGTGAACTCCCTCGCTAAGCAGTGCTCTTTGCGTGAGCTCTGACTTCAACACCCGATCGTAAAATTTCGGACCAACGGTAGCATTTGGGGAAAAACCTGAAATCGAAACAGACCTGAATCACCGTGAACCGATCTGACCCAAGCCTTCTGCCGTCAGCCGACTTGAACTTGACCTCCCGTCATCAGATGACTTGACGTAAGTCTCCCGTCGTCAGCTGACTTGACCTGAGCCTCCGGCGTTAGCCGACGACTTGAATTTCCCATCGTCAGCTGACTTGACCTGAGGTCCCCGCTGTCAGCTGACTTGGCCTGAGCCTCTCGCTGTGAGCCGGCATGACCTGACCTCTGTCGGCCGCAGGTGGGCCGCGAGACCATCAACTCCAGCGATGACCAGATACTGCGCCAGGACATGCCGGCCTCGCTGGTGCGCGTGGAGCAGGCGAGCCGCCTGCTGGAGGACGCCTCGTCCATGCTCAAGATGGACCCGTACTCGCAACCGGCCAGGTCAGCGACAGGGCAGCGCCGGCATGACAGAGACGGTGCAGAGGAAGTGGCAGGAGCACCGGGTGGTGATCACGGACGCATTAGCTGAGCGCACCAGTCTGGTGAAAGTGTTGGCCGCCTGCCAACAGTTAGCGTGTGGGGCTACTTAAAGATGGATTAAAGTGCAGGACTTTAGGCTGAGACCTTCGCTTCGCTTTATAGCCACTTTGATGCTATAAAGCGGACGATGCTATTGCTTCACTCGATAAGGTAGATGCATTACAGGCGATGCGACAATTATGTCCCCTACGTCGCACTTGGGCTATGGCTTGAAACTAGTATTTTGCTTTCACAAGCTGTATTGCTATCTCTAAAGTGTTTAATCCACTATGTAAGTCAGTCGGGCGTCGTATACCCTTTCTCAGCTGCTTAAGGTGAAAGGCCTCGTTTCCAATGGTGATCAAGGTCACGGCGGCGACAGGAAAAACGCGAGTCGTACGACGTAATGCGCCGCAACCGGTTCTGGCCGCGCCGCGTGCACAGTTTGGCGCATGTCATGGCGCGGCTAGAAGGCGCCAACCCCAAGCCTATTATGAGCTGCTACCAGTCGCCAGCAAGCTCAACAGACCATTCTAATCTTCTCAAAGGCACATCTCCGGCGTTATCTTCCGTGAGCCAGCTAGTACGGCTAATTCGTCGGTGCCCTTAACACTAATGACGGTACCGCTGCCAAACTTGGGCTTTAATCACAACGCACTGTCACACCGGGCGGCGCGCGCGGCGGAGGCGTGTGCAGGTGGTGGGGCACGCGCTCAGCACGGTTCGAGCTCGTCACGAGCGGGCCCTGCTCCGCCGGCGTAGCCCCCTGCCGGCGGCGTCCGATGACCCGTCACCCGTCCGGGCGTAACGCGCTCGATGAGCGGCGGCTGTATGGCGTGGGCGTCGCACGTTCGGCTGGGCGGGGGCCGCGCTGCAGGCCGCTGCTGCGTAGACGCGTCCGTAATGGGCAGCAACGAGCGCCACTGGCTGCACCCAGTGATGTCGAGGGCGCACGGCGCAGCTGACGACAAACTGCCGGACTGAGGTGCGAAGGACACGCTCTCTGCAGAACGGACAGGGTCCAGTGAGTGGAGAGGGGAGGGAGTTTGGAAGAGCACGCTTTCTGCAAAGCTGACAGGAACCGGCGGGAGGGGCAGGAGGTGAGGTACAAGGGGCACGATTTCTACAGAGTGGACAGGGCTCGGCGGGAGGGGGGGGGGGGAAGTGAGATACAAGGGGCACGCTTTCTGCAGAGTGGACAGGGCTCGGCAGGAGGGGCGGGAGGGGAGGTGTAATGGACACGCTCTCTGCAAAGCGGTCAGGACCCGGCGGGAGGGGCGAGAGGGAAGGTGCAACGGGCACGCTCTCTACAAAGCGGACAAGGCCCGGCAGGATGGGCGGGATGGGGGTGGGGGTGGGGGGGGGGGGGGCACAAGGGACACGCTTTCCGCAGAGCGGACAAGGCCTGGCGGAAAGGGTGAAAAGTGAGGTACAAGGGGCACGCTCTCTGCAAAGCGGGCAGGACCCGGCGGGAGGGGGGGGGGCGGGAGGAAGGTGCAAGGGACACACTCTCTGCAAAGCGGGCAGGACCCGGCGGGTGAGTCGGGGGGGAGGGGGGGAAGGCCGGACAAACGACGTTGTGAGCCTAGAGTGACTGTGTACATGACTGACATTGGTGACTTCAGTGTTGAGGGGTATGGGTTGCCCGTCTGGTCTAGAATAGTGCTACAGGTTATTTCCGGCAATTGATTTTATTCTCCAGGCTATTCGTTATGGCGTTCTATTATTGAATGTTGATTTAATCATGGGCAAAAACACGGATGGCGGAGTTGGCTAAGGCCGGGCATTGATCTCGACGATGACGATCCACGATCGTGATTGCGATCCCCGGCCTGCAGTGTGCCAGACCCTATATATCTGGTCCAGCCGCCTAGAGATGTGACGGGCGCGGGACAGACCACCGCTGGATGGACGGACCAGACCGGACGGGCCACCGCTGGACGGACGGACCACACGGACCACCGCTGGGCTCGCGTCACGCCACCGGTCCATGAGCGGTCCATCTGTCCGGCCGCTGAGCCACGGAAGCTTGGCAGAGATTTAAGAGTAGCGTTAGTCAGCCGCTGCATCTCACTGGCGCTGCGGTGGTTGCGAACGGTGATGGCAGGTGAATGATCGCAGTTGGAGTGATCGCAGTTGACAGCGGAATGTTGATGTGCGGCATCAGTGTGTGGGCTGGCAGATGGCTGTGTTTGGCAGCGGCATTTAAAACGGGAGCAGGCTTTGCGAACGGCTGGACGAAACAAGTATGCTATGTCTACCAAAATAACGGACGACCAACATGTGAGCGCATCCCGAGATGAGTAACATCAAAGGCGAGGACCACACCAGCAATTTTGCCGCACTCATGGAATGTTAAGTAAGCACTCCGGATGGTGGGCCCCTAGCCTCCAGCCTTGAGCAGGGCTCTCGCTCCCTTCGGTATTCGTCGAGACTGTGCAGAACGGGGCAGCTGTCGGCGCCGGCGCCGGGACGCAGCCACATCGGGTGACGACACGCGCCGTCTCGTTGACAAGACACGGTGCGGAGCGGCCGTCGTCGGCCGGCCGGGCAGAGCGGTCAGCGCGGCCGGAGGGGCGTCTCCCCCGCGGCGCCGGCCGCCCGTCCGTCTGATGGTGTTTGTAAACAGGGCACGGCCCGGTGCCCGCGGCCGGTCCGAAGCTGGCGGCCCGCCCGCACGACCGGCCAGCCCGCACCGCCCGGTCCCGGTCGGCTGGCACGGCAGCTCGTTCTGACCGCCGCCGACCGCCGGCGGCTGCTGGGCGTGGCCGCGCCAACGGCAGCTCGCGCCGCGGGGCCGCCCAGAGCGCCCGACGCGCCCAGCGGTGTGGCGAGATAAGACGAAAGCTGATGAGAAGCGACATTTTTGGGTCATTCAAAGGCCGCGGCCGAGTGCAGCAAATCGTATCAGCAGAACTCCGAGTGTTGGCTTAGGCTGAGGAGGCTCTCCAGCCTGCTTAAAAACCTGTTTACATATAGGTCTGTCTTGGACCGCTGGAAGCCAGCCGCGCCACGGCTAGACTATGGAAGTCCGTCCCGTGGGTTACCCAATACCCATAACCAGCCACGCCCCGACTAGACTATAAGCGTCCGTCTCATGGGTTACCCAAGACCCATAAGCAGCCCCCCCCCCCCCCCCCCACCAGACCATAAGAGTCCGTCTCATGGGTCACCTAAGGCCCATAAGCAGCCACGCTCCGACCAGGTTATAAGAGTCTGCCATGTAGCTTATCCGATGATCACAAACAGCCACTCTCCGACCAGACTATAACTGTCTGCTCTATGGGTTATCCGATGCTTACAAATAGCCACGCCCGGACCAGACCATAAGAGTCTGCCCCGTGGGTTACCCGATGCTCACCTCACAAACAGCAGTGCTCGCCGCGTGCCTGAGTCGACCACCGCTGAGTACCTCCCACCCACCGCGCCCGTCCGTTCTGCTGCAGGGGGAAGCTGATCGACGGCTCGCGCGGCATCCTGCAGGGCACATCGTCGCTGCTGCTCTGCTTTGACGAGTCGGAGGTGCGCAAGATCATCGTCGAGTGCAAGCGCGTGCTGGACTACCTGGCCGTGGCCGAGGTCATCGAGGGCATGGAGGACCTGGTGCAGTTCGTCAAGGACCTCAGCCCCTGCCTCACCAAGGTACTGTCTGCCTGCCCGCTGGAGGGGCAGGTATCTGTAATTTCCACCGATGGCTGCACACGGTCATGCGCGTACTACTCGCTGGCCGTCATCTCCACTGCCCAGCTCCAGATGGTCGACGCTGCAACTGCGGGGCGCGGCGACGGCTCCACCCCGACCCGCCCACCTCACCCCTCGCTGCAGATCTAGGGCGCACCGCACGCACATCGCAAAACACGTCAGAAAACAGGTCATTAAGCCGCGCGGCGGCGACGCCCGAGTGGCTGCGGCGTGGCCGCCGAGCTGGCACCAGCCGTGGTGCGACGGCCGCCGGCCGCTGGTGCCAGCTGCACCAGTGTCAGAGCGTGGTTACGGGCGACGGCCGGCCCGCCGTACCGCACCACCCTTTGCCAACAGCAGCGGTGTCCGGGGCCGACTACAGCGGCACGAGCCGAGCCGGGCGCGGCTGGCGCGACGGTCATTAGTCAGGACCCGTCCCGTCCTCCCGCCGCTGTACCCGGCGGCGCGAGCGGGCGGACCGCTGGCTCGCGAGCGCACTCTAATTAGCGCGTGCCTCGGTTAGCTATCGACGAAGAAATATTGGTGAGCGCGTGGGCTCGCCATCAGCGTGAATTTAACGGTTCCGTGCTCGTTTGACGTCAGGCACGGGAAATGATGTGCGACGGTCCCTTTACAAATGTAAACCCATTTATTTAAAGGGATTAATGTGTATGGGGCTTTAAATGACATAGCCATCTTGAAGACCATTCGGTATAGTTCACAGCCCTGCCCTTCCATAGACTTAAACCCTCTAGTTTCGGAATTACATGCCCGTTAAGATGTCCCAATTATTTCGTGCACACTATTTCGAGGTCATTCAGGTTTGCATGACACCAAAACAGCGGCATTCAAATCCCGCCGCCTTATAGGCCATGCGGCGTTCCAAGGCAAGCAGAATATTATAGCTTGTCAGATCTGACGCCCGTGAGCACGATTTCGTCGTCGTCGACGTCACGTGGACTTTTTAACGCAGTCAGCCACTGAGGCCAGCTTTTTGACGTGCTCAGCTGCTGAGGCCAGCTTTTTTACGTGCTCAGCTGCTGACGCCAACTATTTGACGCCCTCAGCTGGCGTCGTCACCCCGGAAGGAAAAGCGGACACCGCGGGGAATCGAACCCGTACCTCTGGCTTCTAACACGCTCAGCTGAGCCGTCACGCTACCGACACTCTGTAAGCGCGGTATCCAAATGGAGTGGGCGCCAATTGGCAATCAAGGTTGAACAGAAATGTGGACCAGAGCCGACCAAAATTCGACCAAAAATTCAGCCCAGATTATTTCGACCAGAAATTATCACTTCAGGGTTATCGTATGAAAGCGAATGGATAGCGGTGGGGCGGTACTACATGTGCCTTGGGGCCAACCGCCGAGCTTTGGCCCGCGCAGGAGCCCTTCGGAGTGTGCGATGGGCGCCCGGTTGGGGTTTCCCCCCCCCCCACCCCCATCCTAGAAGGCCTCTCGGCTCATTCGTGGCTGGTGCACGCAGCTTGCTCCGGATAAGCGCGGCGTCGCGAGGATGCAGGATAAAGCAGCAGTAGAGAATCAGAGACAGTTACTAATTATGACCGAAATAAGACTTGTAATCGAATAACTGAAGAACAGAGCCATAGCCGGATATGTTATCACAAGCGAACATTTTAAGTAACCGAATAACTTATGAATAGCGCCATCACCGAGCATGCGACTACAAGCAAACATCGTAAACTCACAAGTAAATATGTAAGAAGACCACGCAAAAGAGCCAAGATGCGAGCACAGAATGATATTTGGCTCAGCAAACACTTTCAGCATTGCTACTGTCATCTCTCGGTGATTTGAAATACTACGTGTCAGTGCCAGGGTGGCAATTTCGCACGGGTATTTTGGCAGCACCTCACCGTCGTGCAAACGTTTCGCATTCCATCCAACAATTACGTATTGAGGAACATTTGAACGTGAGAAATTTTGTTACCAGCATTCTTTTTCACTCTAAGAGATACCAATGGTTATAAGTGAGCTTAGTTTATCATACGTTATGTTTACTCCAACCTCTCCCCGAATGTAGAGCATTCCCTTTAAGGTGACCATGTTTTATTTAGACGCGCCGTGCAAGCGCCGTTCGCTGGAGCACTGCATCGTCTCGATGGCGCGCCGCCATCACACCGGCCTTCAAAGTTCGTAAGCCGATGCTGACCTAATCACACCCAGACGCTGACCCACAAAACGGGCAGCCTCACCGCGCACATGCGCACGCCGTGCGTGCGTGTGCGTTCTGCACCCTCCGGAGACGGTCGGCTCTTTTTGGCGGGACAAATTTGGCGCGCGCGCCCGCCGCTCGGCCGGGGACGCCCGACTCGGTGCCGGGTGACGAGCGGCGCCGGAGCGGCTGTTTGGCTTGGCCCTGAGCGGGCGCGTGTCTCAGCGCCGTCCTGAAACATCATCGGGGAACGCACGGCGAGCACCCCGGCCGTCGGCCGTCTGACTCACCAATCGGAAATAGTCCGCCGCGGGGGGGGGGGGGGGGGGGGCGGGGTCCGGCCGGGCGCGGCGGCGCCGGTCTGACGGCACTGTCATATGACCTGTTGTGAACTGACGATCAGACGAACCGGTCTGAACTGATGGTTAGATGGCCGGGTCTGCGATGATAAGTTATCCAAGGCCACCGGGCCCGAAAATGCGGCAGTTATAAGTTTGCTGTCTTGGTTTGGGCTGCTTTGATGCATTTCATCGGCTTCTTTGTCTGCCAGTCGTGGCCAATGACAGCATATGAGGTCTTGCCAAACCCTACCGCAGGTCAGACGATACGTCGATATGAAACCAAAGGTATTTGGCCCGGTCACCTGTGAGAAGTAAGACGGTAACCAGCACATTTCCAGCACAATAGCCCTTTCTATATGTGGTGCAGGCTGGAAGAGCAGAAAAGGCGTCTGTCTGGGTGGCCTGACTTCTGTCGGCTGGTGCTTATCTGACTTCAGTTCTTGATTTTTTATTAGTTGTAGTGTGATTCTGAAGTGCAAGAACACGTCCTTTCGTTTGAAGGCGGTTGCGTAGCGCCACGACTGGTATTACGAGTGCTGGAGGACCCTGCCCTTGACTGCGGTGACCTTAAAAGTATTTTGCGTAGCGTGTGAGCTTATCAGTCTCAAAACGGATATCTCTTCAAAAGTTTCCGGCTGACACTGTTCGTATCTGTCGATTGTTGTCGTATTTTCTCCGATCTGAAGATTGGATCGTGAGTTACCCGAGGGTGTTTTTTGGCTCCCGTGATGATCGCGGATGGTGACGGAGCCGAGGGTGTCTTTTGACTCCCCTGATGATCGCGGATGGTGACGGAGCCGAAGGTGTCTTTTGACTCCCCTGATGATCGCGGATGGTGACGGAGCCGAGGGTGTCTTTTGACTCCCCTGGTGATCGCGGATGGTGACGGAGCCGAGGGTGTCTTTTGACTCCCCTGATGATCGCGGATGGTGACGGAGCCGAGGGTGTCTTTTGACTTCCCTGATGATCGCGGATGGTGACGGAGCCGAGGCGGCGCCGAATTGAGCTGCCAACCTGACCGAAGCGACACGGGATACCTAGAGCACGTGTAACTAGGCAGCGCAGCTGTCAGACAGTGATGCTTAATAGGGATTTCCATTATAAGCTATTTCGCATGCAACAAGATAGCGTGCGATATACCTGCCCAGGAGTCGAAGCGGCGCTTCAACACCGGTGCGACAGCCGGCTCTGGCGTGCCGCAGGCCGAGACACCCCAACACTTCGGGCTGCGCCTCGTGTGGGGCCCTCTCCCTCGCCCTCGCCCCGCCTCGCGGTCGGCGAGCCGCCCCGGCGCGCCGCAGCCGCCCACCTCCCAGCATGCCATAAATACAAATGCCTGGCGGCACGTGCGCCGGCATGTGGCCGCGGCGTCATGCGTGACCTGGTGTGCCGCCGCCGCAGGTCTCGAGGGACGTGGACGCACGGGAGAAGGAGCTGACCCACCAGGTGCACCGAGAGATGCTAGTGCGCTGTCTGGAGCAGGTCAAGACGCTGGCCCCCATCCTCATCTGCTCCATGAAGATCTACATTCAGATTACCGGCCAGCCGTCTAGTGAGTGGGCGGAACGACAATTGACAGGAGACGTGAAAAATGAACAGCTGATGAACGACGAAAATAGGCATGGAGAACGACGTGATAGGCGTCGTATACCAAATATTCGCCGTTTAGCTAGACCGATAGAAGGTGCCATGCCCGCTGCCCACTCAGCCCTCAGGAGCGCAGCTGTCGTCACAACCGTGCTCTGGCTCCACACTCCCGTATTCTGGTGTAGGCATTCGGTATGATCATTATTCGCTAGCCATTTGTGTGTCTGGCGTGAATATGTTCACTATAGCCTACACAGCCAGCCAACCTACACTAGTGTACTACACTTAAGCACCTGCCTTGTCGGCGTCATACGGCATGATAACCGCCACTTGCTGGCCACAGCCAATCAATGGATTTACCCGTTGACGCCCAGCTCTGCTCCGCCGCCTCGAGATTCGGCCGTGTCGTCGAGTGTGATCGTAACCGGCGCGGTAAGGAGATCGCCTTTGACCAGGCGATCTCCCCACCGCGCCGCTCTCGCCCTCTGCCGCCTCCCGGACGGCGCGCCGGCCCCTCTGACCCTCGCCGCCATCCCGCGCCGCCGCAGGTAAGGGCGCCGAGGAGGCCGCCGAGAACCGCAACTACCTGGTGGGCCGGATGAGTGACGAGGTGCACGAGATCATCCGCGTGCTGCAGCTGACCACCTACGACGAGGATGAGTGGGACGCCGACGCGCTGACCGTTATGAAGAAGGCCGAAAGTGCCATCGCCTCCAAACTGCAGCCGGCCAACGACTGGCTTCAGGACCCGTTGGTGAGACCGGCTGCGGCTTGCGTGTGTGCGTGTGTTTTGCAAGTGGCCTGCGAGAAGCGCTATAAAATGAACCTGGCGCTTATTATGGAACTACTTGTGCACAATGCATCAAGGCTGCCAAAGTGCGGAGATTTTCCATAAAGGCACAAAGTTTGACTTCCGATCTCGATTTCGCGTTGCGATAATGCTTCAGGAAATGGCCACCCTAGAAGCGCTATAAAATGAACCTGGCGCTTATTATGGAACTACTTGTGCACAATGCATCAAGGCTGCCAAAGTGTGGAGATTTTCCATAAAGGCACAAAGTTTGACTTCCGATCTCGATTTCGCGTTGCGATAATGCTTCAGGAAATGGCCACCCTCTGGCACGATATCTGTTTGAAGAACCGGGTTGAGTTCAGACTGATGCGATGAAGGGAGGCTCAGTTCGCCTGGCAGAATCGTAACCGGGTTGAGTTCTGACTGATTCCGATGAAGGGAGGCTCAGTTCGCCTGGCAGAATCGTGTCGAACCGTTCCGACCAACGAGCGGCGTGCTTCGTCCGTGTAATAGTTGAGCTCTGACTGATTCCGATGAAGGGAGGCTCAGTTCGCCTGGCAGAATCGTGTCGAACCGCTCCGACTAACGAGCGGCATGCCTCTTCCGTGTAATGGTGGGTTGTACAGCCGGGAATGATGCCCATCTGAGGCATTCGGTGGCCGCGGCTGTGTTTATTTGGCTGGCTATCTCCCGGTAAGGGCTCGGGCCGGCGTACGCCGCCGAGCAGGCAGCTGCTGTTGACACGTCATTGCTGTGCTCGGTATGCTCGGCCTCCAGCCACGCGCTCATGCTCTTCAGGGCCCTCAGAATTCCAACGTGTAAACTGTGTACAGTTGGCCTGGTTGCTGCATGCTTATGCACTGTCACCATCAACATGCCCCGGTGTTGTCGTCAGCGAATATGTCCGTCAGCCCAGCCGTAGCGTGTGTGTGGGTGTCGAGCATGACACGGTCTCGTGACCCGCTTTGACCCATCAGGCGGTACGCGGTGGCGTCGGTGACTGACCTCGTGACCTGATCTGACCCATCAGGCGATGCGCGGTGGCGTCGGTGACTGACCTCGTGACCTGATTTGACCCATCAGGCGGTACGCGGTGGCGTCGCTGACTGACCTCTTGATCTGATCTGGCTCATCAGGTAATACGCGGTGGCGTCGGTGGCTGACCTCGTGACCTGATCGGGCGGTGGCGTCGGTGACTGACCTCGTGACCTGATCTGGCTCATCAGGCGGTGCGCGGTGGCGTCGGCGAGAAGTCGCTTCGCGCCATCGTGGACCTCTCGGGCCGGGTGGCCGAGCGCGCGCTGCCGCAGGACCGGAACGCCATCAACAAGCTGGCCGGAGACGTCAGCTCCATGACGGACGCGCTCTGTGAGCTCCGCCAGAGTGGTCAGGTGAGGCTCTGTGAGCTCCGCCAGAGGGGCCAGGTGAGGCTCTGTGAGCTCTGCCAGAGGGGCCTGGTGAGGCTCTGTGAGCTCCGCCAGAGGGGCCAGGTGAGGCTCTATGAGCTCCGCCAGAGGGGCCAGGTGAGGCTCTATGAGCTCCGCCAGAGGGGCCTGGTGAGGCTCTATGAGCTCCGCCAGAGGGGCCAGGTGAGGCTCTATGAGCTCCGCCAGAGTGGCCAAGTGAGGCCCTGTGAGCACCGCCAGAGTGGCCAGGTGAGGCTCTGTGAACTCCGCCAGAGGGGCCAGGTGAGGCTCTGTGAGCTCCGCCAGAGTGGCCAGGTGCGGCTCTGTGAACTCCACCAGAGGGGCCAGGTGAGGCTCTGTGAACTCCACCAGAGGGGCCTGGTGAGGCTCTGTGAACTCCGCCAGAGTGGCCAGGTGGGGCTCTGTGAGCTCCGCCCCAGAGTGGCCAGGTGCGGCTCTGTGAACTCCGCCAGAGGGGCCAGGTGAGGCTCTGTGAGCTCCGCCAGAGGGGCCAGGTGAGGCTCTGTGAGCACCGCCAGAGGGGCCAGGTGAGGCTCTGTGAGCACCGCCAGAGGGGCCAGGTGAGGCTCTGTGAGCTCCGCCAGAGTGACCAGGTGAGGCTCTGTGAGATCCACCAGAGGGGCCAGGTGAGGCTCTGTGAGCACCGCCAGAGGGGCCAGGCGAGGCTCTGTGAGCTCCGCCAGAGGGGCCAGGTGAGGCTCTGTGAGCACCGCCAGAGGGGCCAGGTGAGGCTCTGTGAGCTCCGCCAGAGGGGCCAGGTGAGGCTCTGTGAGCTCCGCCAGAGGGGCCAGGTGAGGCTCTGTGAGCTCCGCCAGAGGGGCCAGGTGAGGCTCTATGAGCTCCGCCAGAGGGGCCAGGTGAGGCTCTGTGACCTCCACCAGAGGGGCAATGTGAGGCGGCGCCCTGGATTGTCACAGGCTCAGGCGTGCGTGAACCTCGCCCACTGTACCGGACGTTGTTCGGGGGTGGGCGGGCGGGGGGTACGAATTCGGTTTGAGCTCTTTGGCCGGGATGGACGTCAGAGCGTCAGAGCGATGGACACCAGGATTGGGGAGAAAAACGAGAGGAGCGCGAGTTATGCTGCGGCCACTCCGGGCTACCTCAGACACAGAGACTTTCCCCGCGCAGCGAGTCCAGATCAGGCTCGAACGGATGGTCGGGTCGCCCTCCCCACCTCGCGGTCAGCCTGCCGGCAGCAACTTGAAACCAGACGCTGGCCAGTTTTGTGCACCAAATACACTCGGCTGCAGAAGAACGCTCGTTCCAACAGTTCGGTCCATTCCAGCGGTATAATGGCTGTAGATTTACCCTCCGCCACCCCGCCCTCCCCCTCCCCCTGGCCCTGCTCGGAGCGGTGCAGACCGTGACGCCACGTGTGACACCGGGGCGTCGTCGGCAGGGCACCAGCCCCCAGGCGCAGGGTCTGGCGCGCAGCCTGCAGGGCCAGCTGGCCGACCTGCACGGCCTGGTGCGCGGCGCCGTGGCCAACGTGGAGCGCTCGGGCGTGCAACAGCCGGCGCACACGCTGGCCGGCCGGCTGGAGCAGGCGCGCCGCTGGCTGCAGGCGCCCGACGGCCCGGAGCGCGCGCTCGGACAGAAGGCCATCCAGCTGGTGGTGGACGAGGGCCGCCGCGCCGCCGAGAACCTCAGCGGCCAGCCACGCCAGGAGGTGCTCCAGCTCTGCGACGAGGTGGACGGCCTCTCCCGCCAGCTGGCCGATCTGGTGCGCCGCGGCGAGGGCAACTCGCCGCAGGCGCACGCCATCGCCAAGTGAGAGCGCACTCCCAGCCCCGCCTCCGTGGCGGGCGAGCGTGCTGGGAGCTGAAGGCCTGATGGAGCGCAATACCATGTGGTCTTGCTTTCCAGACACTGTTGTCTGGGAGCGCCTGGAATGTTGCCGATGACATCAACTTGTGTGCTGTGATACGCGGTGCGTGGGCAGGAACAACTTGAGGCAGAATGCCACTGTCTTCCTGCGACTCTGGATCGAACCTAAGCATGATCCCGGCTGTGGCAGTCTGCACGCCGGTATGTGAATGAAGCATTCGGATATTTCTTCCAATATGCTCCGAGAAGCGAGCATCCCATTAAGGTTGTTAGGGCATCCTAACCCTTGGAACGACGTGTATTGGCCAAGCCCTTATGTCGAACCTACTTGAACATAGGGCACCAACACAAGCGCGCAACCTGCGAGGCTAGCTGGCCGACCTGTACGGCCTGGTTCGCGGCGCCATGGCCAGCGTCGAACGCTGGCCACGAAAAATGAATGGATGAGACGCTCCGTTGCGTCTCATTCATGTGTATAATTTGTATTTCCCCTCGCCCAACTCCAGACAGCTCTCGGCCAAACTGCAGCAGCTGAAGGACAAGATCCAGAACGCGCTAGTGGGCCGCGTAGTGGAGGACTTTGTCGACATCGTCACTCCGCTGAAGCAGTTCACCGAGGCGACGCTGGCGCCCGAGGTGGGTGTCGTCAGCGCCGCCTGCCGGCCGCCGGAGGCCGGTGGCGTGCTCCGCCGCGCCGCGGGTCGCTGGGGTCCGAGAGGAGACGGAAGCGGCCCCGACCTCTGGGCTCGGCGCGAGAGTTGGGGGCAGGCCGGTCTGGCGCCGGCCTGCCCTGTTGCGGCTGCCCTGCACTACGGCAGTGCAGTCGACATGTGGGAAGCGAGCTGATCTTACAGCTGACGCACGGAAAAGCTCTTTTCAGCGCGCCGTTTGCTAACGCGCCATCGTCGTTCGTCACCCGTTTGCCAGCGCGCCATCGTTCTCCATCAGTCCTGCAGCGTGAATCACATATAATGCCGGTTAACCTATCCGCCGTGCCAAGGGCAGACGAGTCGGACTGGTGCCGCCTCCCTCACCCTGTCGTCCGCCCCACTGGGCCTGCTTGACCTGGCCGTGTAACACCCTGCTCACCAGGGCACCACCGGGCCGGGAGCAGAACTTCGGTGACAAGGCCGACAAGCTGCAGCGGTTCAGCACGCAGGCGGCGCGCACCGGCCGCATGGTGGCCTCGGCCGGCGCCGCCGGCAACAAGAAGCTCTCGGAGGCGCTGCAGGCCTCGGCCAACGAGGTCAGGCTGGTGGACGGCGTCACTGGAGGGCAGGGTCAGCCAGCGAGCTGGGGGGGGGGGGGGTAGGGGCCGGATGCCCCTCCTGGTCAGGAAGGGACTGTGTGCCCTGTCCGTGAGATGACTGCTGCCGGGTCAGGGAAGGGATGTGTGTCCCGCCCTTGAGATTGGATGCGTTGTGTGAGCCATGCTCTGCCTGCCAGGGATTTCTCATACATTGTTTATATGTCTCAAACGTCTAACGAAATTGACAGACCGCGTTTGAAAACGACGAACCCATTTGATTTATAATGATCAGTATTTCATGTCTTTCGGGTCAGCAGTATCAGATTTTTATCCTCTTTGACTTCATCCTCTGCATAAACGACGAACCCATTTGATTTATAATGATCAGTATTTCATGTTCTTTCGGGTCAGCAGTATCAGATTCTTATCCTCTTTGACTTAATCCTCTGCATAATTGGGCTATGAATTGGGCGACAAGTACTTACGCGTAAACTGCACGACTCATATTTGGAGTGCCCCCAATTCGCGTCAGGTAAACAAACTTGAAGCTTTGTGCGATGTAAGATCAGAGATCAGAGGTCAACAAAAATAGGGAGCATATTTAACTCAACTGTGGATAAATTATGAAATGATCAGTTGCTTTCATGTATATATGGCATTGAAATTAGGGCTACGGTCGTTAAGTGTAAAGATCATACACTTGTCTGCATTTGGCCCCTAATTTAACCTTGACTTTGACTTTGGATCACGGAGATCATGCGATAGTTCTTGCTCAAAATCTATCATTCTTTGAATGTCGTTAAGGGCATCTCAATATCTCTATCCAGTCCTGAGATATGCAGAAATACCGTCCCCACCGTCATCTGTCCCGGCGGTCGAAACGAAAGATGCCGCATTCGTAATCCAGCAGCACTGCGTGCGATTCCCAGGTGCGCATATTGTTTGACCTGACCGAAAAGGATAGGTCAGCTGGCAACTGGCAACAGGGTTGGCCCAGGCCCGGGGTGGCCGTTCCTCGTCATTGTGCGGCACCTGAAACCCTCCGCACTCTTGTCGGGTGAAAGGGCAGTGACAGAACTATCCGCTGAACTGGACGGTACAACTTGGTTGGCGGTTGCGGCAACAAGCTATACTTAGCAGGTACTCTGATCCCATAGTAGTCGCCAATATAAACCATGTATATTTTTTAGACACAAGATTTTTAGTTTTTTTTTGCAAAGCTCAAAAAGTGAATAGGATAACCCCGCCTTTTTGTTTGTTTTATTATTATGTAATGTACCACAGCTGATTGAGCTTTAATTAAAAACAGAACTTTTGATGTCTCACATGTCAAAATAGGTCACGTAATAAATGGTCACGAGTTTACGTAGAGAAAAAAAACCAACAAAATGAGAAATCATAGAACGACGATGATCTTCCCTGCATCATTGTGAGTTCACTGATATGACGCTTTTACTCGATTTGTATAAATTGTCCACAAACTATGACCGCCAGAGAAATGGCCTGTAGCGTGACCTCTCGAAATGCCCGAGGCCATAACTTAGTAAGCGTTGTTAGGAGAGGTCTACGCTTTGCACATGCACCTTACGGCCTGAAGATTATCCTCCAACTACCATTTTAAGATTTTAGTTATGGACATGGTTGTGAAAGGCCTTGGTTGGGTTGTCGTGGAATTTCCCTCTGTATGCAGCACCCCTCCCCCCCCCCCCGGCCGGGCGGGGAGCCTGTGTCCGCGGCTGGTGGTTTGTAACCTCTCTACTGACCCCTTCACTGTCCAGGTGGAGAGTCCTTTGCCCGCAGCTGGTGGTCCGTAACGTCTATATGACCTGCCTCCTCTCCTGTCCAGGTGGAGAGCCTGTGTCCGCAGCTGGTGGTCCGTAACGTCTATATGACCTGCCCCCTCTCATGTCCAGGTGGAGAGCCTGTGTCCGCAGCTGGTGGTCCGTAACGTCTATATGACCTGCCTCCTCTCCTGTCCAGGTGGAGGGCCTGTGCCCGCAGCTGGTGGTCCGTGACGTTTATATGACCTGCCTCCTCTCCTGTCCAGGTGGAGAGCCTGTGTCCGCAGCTGGTGAACGCCGGCAGTATCCGACTGCAGCACCCAGACAACAAGGCCGCCGACGAGCACTTCGAGAACCTGCGCAAACAGTACGCCGACTCCATCAGTCGCGTGCGCGACCTCAGCGACGAGGCCATCGACGCGGCCAAGTTTATACGGCAGTCGGGTTAGTGCCAGCTGCGGAGGTTACCGCGGGTCAACACCGGGAAGTCACCGTGGGCCGACCCCGGGCAGGTCACCGTGGGCCGACACCGGGCAGGTCACCGTAGGCCGACACTGCGCAGGTCACCGTGTGCTGACCCCGGGCAGGTCACCGTGGGCTGACCCCGGACAGGTCACCGTGGACCGACACTGGGCAGGTCACCGCGGGCCAACACTGGGCAGGTCACCGAGGGTCAACACCAGGCAGGTCATCGTGGGCTGACCCGGGCAGGTCACCGTGGGCCGACTCCGTCCGGGTCTCCGAGGGTCAACGCCGGGCAGGTCCGCTAGCTGTCTGACTGCGTGGATCGGTGGTGCGCGAGAAAAACGTGCTTCTGATGGGAAGGCGGGTCTTCTGAGTGTGGCTATTTCTTACACTTTAAGGTAGACTGTTGCAAAGCTTTGTGTGTTGCAAGCATGTTCAAAAAGGGCCCTTGTCCAGTGAACTGCAATAACAAGGGCGTGAGTCATCGGGGTAGCGCGGTACAACCCGACGAAATAGATCCGCGGGAGTGTGAGCTGGCTGAGAGCGTGTTCGGCGTCCGTTGGATGCCGCCTGTTGGCAAGGGTGGTCCGCCCACTGACGGCGCGCTCCGGTGGCCGCCATGCCGCAGAGGAGCTGATGAAGAAACACACCGGTCTGTGCGAGGAAGGCATCAAGCACCGGCAGCCGCAAGAGGTGGTCGGCAACACCTCCGCCATAGCCAGGTGAGTCAGACCACAGCGCCTGCCGGTGGGCCTCTGCCCGCGAGAGGCCCAGTAAGCTGGCAGCTTCCTCCAGGGGGCTTGCTGACGTGGAGAGGCGGGATTACGGCGTGGCAAGTTCTATGATGCTCATCCAAAGAGCCTGAGAGCAAATGCACAAGGTCACAGCTCGTCACTGAAGCACTGTGCTTATCAGTGCTACACAGGCTGCAGCTTCCTCCGCCAATGCGTGGGTAGATATGCAAAGGAAATGCTGATTGATGGCCGAGATTGCTAGGTGTCAGTATGAGGCTGCACCAGACCGGAGAGGCGGGTCGGGCGCCAGCTGGGGTCTGCTCGGGCCCGGCAGGGAGAGCGCAGGCCATCCGTAGACCGACTCCCATCAATGGGTCGGCGTCGTTCCCTGGGCACCAGAGATGGCCGTCGACGCCCGGCCAGTTGAGGCGGGGGTGGGATGGAGGGCGGCCGTCGGCACCCGGATAGTCGAGGCGGGGGTGGGATGGAGGGAGGCCGTCGGTGCCCGGCCAGTCGAGGCGGGGGTGGGATGGAGGGCGGCCGTCGGTGCCCGGCCATCGAGGCGGGGTGGGATGGAGGGCGGCCGTCGGCGCCCGGCCAGTCGAGGCGGGGTGGGATGGAGGGCGGCCGTCGGTGCCCGGCCAGTCGAGGCGGGGGTGGGATGGAGGGCGGCTGTCGGCGCCCGGCCAGTCGAGGCGGGGTGGGATGGAGGGCGGCCGTCGGCGCCCGGCCAGTCGAGGTGGGGGGATGGAGGGCGGCCGTCGGCGCCCGATGGTCGAGGCGGGGTGGGATGGAGGGCGGCCGTCGGCGCCCGGATGGTCGAGGCGGGCGTGGAATGGATGGTGGTCGTCGGCTCGGCCAGTCGGGGCGGGGTGGGATGGAGGGCGGCCATCGGCGCCCGGCCAGTCGAGGCGGGGGTAGATGGTGGCGGTCATCGGTACCCGCCAGTCGAGGCCGGGATGAGATGGATGCGGCCGTCGGCACCCGGCCAGTCGAGGCGGGGTGGGATGGATGACGCCGTCGGTGCCCGGCCAGTCGAGGCGGGGGTGGGATGGATGACGGCCGTCGGCGCTCGGTAGGCAACCTGCTTTATAGTCCAAAATGCGGCCAGCAGGGAGCTGGGATAATATATATATATATATATATATATATATATATATATATATATAAATACCGGGAGCAGTGACCCGGACGCCGTGCGGCGGCCTGCTGAAAAGCCGGGGGACGGGGCGGGTCTGTGCTGAGCTATGTTCTGCTCTCGGTGCTGTGTTGTGTTTTATTTTCTCGGTGCTGCGCTGTGATGCCGTTCGGTGTGTTGCTGGACAATGGCATAGGGCGGCGGAATGGCAGGCTGTGGGAGATATTGTGGACGTGTTGAGACGGGAGATGTCAGGTGTGAGGTGTGGTGAGACAAGAGATGTCAGGTGTGAGGTGTGGTGAGACGGGAGATGTCAGGTGTGAGGTGTGGTGAGACGAGAGATGTCAGGTGTGAGGCGTGGTGAGACCAGAGATGTCAGGTGTGAGGTGTGGTGAGACGGGAGATGTCAGGTGTGAGGCGTGGTGAGACCAGAGATGTCAGGTGTGAGGTGTGGTGAGACGGGAGATGTCAGGTGTGAGGCGTGGTGAGACGGGAGATGTCAGGTGTGAGGTGTGATGAGACGGGAGATGTCAGGTGTTGGGCGCGGTGAGACGGGAGATGTCAGGTGTGAGGCGCGTTGGGACGAGAGATGTCGGGTGTGAGGTGTGATGGGGGGGACGGGAGATGTCAGGTGTGGGGCGTGGTGAGACAGAACATATCAGGTGCGAGGCGTGGTGAGACGGCGTGAGGTGTACTTTTCTCGCGTCACGCCCCCCGGCAGACTGGCCAACCGGGTGCTGATGGTGGCCCAGAAGGAGGCCGACAATTCGGAGGATCCGCGCTTCCGCACCGAAATTCAGGCGGCAGTCGACCGTCTGCAGAAAAGTCAGTCTGCGCTCTCAGATCTCAGATCAGCATGGTGTCCTGTCATGGACGCGTCGCCTGTGGCTGGACCCCGGGGTACCCGGGCATTGGTCGCTGAGTGATCCGCCTCGTGCTATAACCTAGCAGTGTGGCATGCATCAAGTTTCCGCTGTCATTCTGCGTTTTTCGGTCGGGGTTTCCCCAATGGCCATGAGCGTAACACACTTCCGAACGGCCCGCGGGTCCAGTCTCCAGATGCCAGCCTGGCGTTTGTTACGCCCAGTTCCCTGTGGTAGCGCCATTTGGAGTACAACACTGCATTGGATGGTGGAGTTATACAATCCCCTCATTGAAACATCGCTAGCCTTGCGGCCCCTCTTTATTGAGTAAGTCACTGGCTCAGTTCCCCGGGGGCAGAATCACGTCATTGCCGTACGCGCGTTGGATTGTGTCGACGTTGCTCATCTCCCAGCTGCGGTGGTGACCTCTGAACCGTGGCGTGCCCCAGGCGTGACTCCGATGGTGCAGAACGCCAAGACGGTGGCGGTAAACCCGGCTGACCAGGGTGCTGTCAGCCGCTGGAGGAACTCCAACAACGAGGTGAGACTGGTGACGGGCTGACGTGCTTGCCGCCCGGCTGACCGTCGCAGCGCGGCTGGCGTCGTCGCCCAGCGCGTCGCTACAGAGCCGCTCATGTGCCGGCCGTGCGACGGAGGTTTAGTGGGAAATCGCACTGTACTCTAGCTGCTGCGGCACTGTGTAATATCGCGATCGGGAAGCTCGCTATCGTGTTGAATCGCGGCAGTCCTTGCCTCGGCTGGAACGGCACGTTGTGAGCAAACTCGAGCAGTGAGCACTGGGTTAGGTACTCTCTGTCTGCGGCTTACATAGCAAGTGCGCCTAAACAGGCTGTTTCACACCATGACAAAATATGCGGCGTGCATAGTGCTGGTATTCGAGCGCGTTTTGGCATTAATGCTATGCATGCCCGAACTCGTACCTGCACTGTAATTTGATTCTTGAGAGGGTTCACTTAGCTAGTGAGCGTGCGTGGTGTAGGGAAGCCTCGGTCGCCTCGGCCCTGACGTCGTGCGGTTGCTGTTGGGCAGCTGCTGGATGCCGTGGGTCAGGTGCGGAAGGCCGTGGGTCCGGACATCGACCTCATCCCCGGCATGTCCCAGATGGAGCTGAACGGTGAGTGGAACGGAGACGGGGCGCGCCACTGTCGTTCTTACCCTGCTGCCCGGGTGCTCGGTGTCTGTGTCATCGGCTGGTTTGTACGTTGTTTCCATTGTTCGTCTCCTTCCCTATCCCTTCCGTCTCTCTGCCTCTATTTTCCTCTATGCGATGCTTCGGCACTCTCCCTCTTTGTTCTTTTCCACTTCTGCCTTTCCGCTTTCTTTTCACCTACTTCCCCGCCTCTTTCCTTTTACTTTCGGTGTCTTTCTTTGAGAGCCTGTAGTATTGTTTTCTGGTCCTCCGAGTTGCCGCATCCATCCATTCACAGTGTCATGAGTGCGCCGGAGGGAGGGTGTGGGGGGGGGGGGGGAGCGACCGCCGGCGGCCCGCGGCGGGCACCGGCCGTGAGCTCAGCCGCCGCCCCTCCGCCCTTGCGGCGACCTTCAGTGACCACCGCGCCGTCCCTAGATGCCATAGACCGGGATAAGAAGGGCCGCGAGGAGGAGCTGGGCGCCCTGTTGGCCGGCCTGGAGAAGGTGTCCCGCGCGCCCGAGCTGGGCTCGGCGCCGCGGCTCGCAGGTGACCTGACCTGACCTGATCTGGCCCGGCCTGGCCTGCCGCCGAGTGGTGCCTCCTGACGCCGTGCGGCACGCTGGCTGGCGTGGCTTCGACTAACACGTGTGCGCCGCCCCGGGAGCTCGAGGCGACTGCGGTCGACTGACCGGCAGACTGGGAGGCAGCGGCCGCCGCTGGGCCGGGCCGAGGCCGGGTCCGGGCTCGGGCGGGGCTGACGCTTGTCGCCGTTTCGGCCGACTGCCGTGTCCAGAGTAGGGTTTGTAGGCTGGGAGGCTGGTATGCAGCAGTCGTTGCGCTTTGCCCGTGCCGTGAAATGCAACTCGTGTGGGGCATGCGCAGTTGTTGAAGTTTTGCGGTCGATTCCACTGGCGTCAGCGACTTTGTGCTTGGCCTGTCATGCCTCGTCTGGAATGTCTGGTTTGATGCATGGCGTTTCAGTGAACTAAGGTGCATGACATGTTAAACGTTTTTGTGATGAATGCACGGTTCGAACTTGGTATAATTTTCACGAGTGATGCCGATTGTGACCTGTGGTGTTCCAACTGGAACTCTGACTAAGCTTAAGCTCTCATCATTGCGTCGGGATAAAGCTCACTTTCGTTGATGCGCACATGCTCTAGGGGAATCAGTCTGTTGAGAGTGTTTTGCCCAAGTTAATGCGCACACTAGCGTGGAGATTGTGTACCGCTGTGTTAATATTCTTTTTGTGTCCTAAATACCTGGATATTTGACATCTCATGTGGAATTGGGTTCTGTTTCTATTGTTTGCCTTCCATCCTTCACGCAACAATGCTTTCCTCACCCGAGACCAGATCCGACTGACTTGGCCATATGTCTCCCGTGACTTGGTGGCGCCACTGACCGTCAGTGAGTCGGGTCCAGAGGTGCCGTGTCGCGGTCAGTTGATCCGGACGCCGGTAGCAGGCACTTCCGTCCCGCTGGCTCTGAATCGCGCACGCTGTGCTGAGGCAGCGTCGCACGCCAGCCACTGACCTGGCGTTTGTCTTCATGACGACGCAGTTATCCGCCGGGTAGCAGCGTTGCGATCTCTTACGTGTGCATTCCTGATCCAGATGCTCTCCCGTAATAATTGATAGTGTTGTCACAACTTGCGAGCGGTACTTGACCACTCTCGCCGACTGGATGGAACCTCGCGCAACTTATTAAGCATAGCGAAGCAAATTATCTCCGGCAGATAGAGCAGGAATGGCTGTGAAACATTCGGAGGTGCGCCTAAACAGCCTTCCACTTACCGGCTGTGCCAGCCCCGCTTCGGGATGGCAACGTATGGCGGCCTGCCTCTGCTTGCTTGCCCGGTCGTAGGCTCAGTTCCTGCAGGTGATATGAGACGGCTGTGATCGCACCGAGCTTTCTCTTCGGACGGCCGCCGACCAGTTTCTGATTTGTATGGCCAGCTTTTGTGACTTCCATCAGATGTTATTGGAAGTGTAGACGTAGGGAAGCGTGTGCTCGTCTGTCGGTCCGTGACAGCTGGCAGCTGTGCTCGTCTGACGACCCGTGACAGCTGGCAGCTGTGCTCGTCTGACGGTCCGTGATGGTTGACAGCCGTACTCGCCTGACGACCCGTGACAGTTGGCAGCTGCGCTCGTCTGACGGCCCGTGGCGGCTGGCAGCTGTGCTCCTAACGGCCCGTGACGGCTGGTAGCTGTGCTCGTCTGCCGGCCCGTGACGGCTGGCAGCTGTGCTCGTCTGACGGCGCTATCGCGCTGCCGCAGAGTCGGCGCCGCCGCGTCCGCCGCTGCCGGCCGGCGGGCAGCCGCCGCCCCGGCCGCCGCCGCCGCCAGAGACTGATGACGAGGAGGACAGCCACGTGTTCCGGCACGCGCCGCCCGCCAACCAGCCCATCATGCAGGCTGCCCACGGCCTCCACCAGGAGGTGGGTGCCGCTGCTGAGCACAGATGGCGCTGATGGCCACAGGTGGCGTTACTCTCGATGGCAGACTACCCTCCATGTCCATCAACGTTCGCCCAGAAAGCCTACAAGCTTTTGCTCCGTCGCTATGTTTAAAACAGATCTATTTTTCGTCCGAAACCTTTCTGTGAAGTTCATTGAAAGTAGTTTCACCACCCCAACCGGAGCATTACCGAGCTTGCCTCAGTCTTCTGGCATTCCTCCCTCGATTTCCCGGCTACGTGCCACCGCGCTCGGCAGCGTGCGTTGCGCACCGCGGCTGACACGGACCGCCGCTGCCAGGTGGCCCAGTGGAGCAGCCGGGACAACGACATCATCGCGGCCGCCAAGCGCATGGCCCAGCTGATGGCCAAGCTCAGTCAGCTGGTGCGCGGCGAGGGCGGCGGCAACAAGCGCGAGCTGATCGCCTGCGCCAAGGCCATCGCCGAGGCTTCCGAGGAGGTCACGCGGCTCGCCAAGGAGCTGGCGCAGGAGTGCACCGACAAGCGCATGCGCACGGTGAGGGTAGATCAGGCGCTCAGCGCCATGTGTGCCGGGGAAGATATCGGAGCGGGTGTTCTGTGGGAGCGTATTCGTCGGGGGCTTGTGCTGATCCTGGGCACTGTGTTCGTTGTGGTGTGTTAGAGCATTGTGCGAAACTCGGCGGGGTTTTAATGCCGTGGGATCAAACCGCTGCCAGTTTGTAAGCCGGAGATGATGCGGTCCTCAGAGGCCAGGCCGTTGTCAGCGGCAGGTCACGCTCAGGGCCCGGCCGGTGACATCTCCGGCCTGCTGGCCTGTCACAGTCAGGACCCGGCCCGCTGTCGTCTCCGGCCTGCTGGCCTGTTACCCTCGGGGCCCGGCCGGTGACATCTCCGGCCTGCTGGCCTGTCACGGTCAGGACCCGGCCCGCTGTCGTCTCCGGCCTGCTGGCCTGTTACCCTCGGGGCCCGGCCCGCTGTCGTCTCCGGCCTGCTGGCCTGCTACCCTCGGGGCCCGGCCCGCTGTCGTCTCCGGCCTGCTGGCCTGTCACCCTCGGGGCCCGGCCCGCTGTTGTCTCCGGCCTGCTGGCCTGTCACGCCGCCGCTTGCTGACATGTGCCGGCCGGCTCTGTCCACAGCAACTGCTGCAGGTGTGCGAGAGGATCCCTACCATTGGAACACAGCTGAAGATCCTCTCCACGGTCAAGGCCACCATGCTGGGCGCCCAGGGTGAGTGGATGGCGTGGCCGGTGGCGGCCGCTGCGAACGACCGGGGCACCCGCTCAGTATAGCGCACAATAGGCTTCAGGTACCCGGGGCCCTCGGTCTGCGATCTGACTGGTTCATTTTCCTGCAAACGATGTGTGTGTGTGTGTGTGTGTGTGTGTGTGTGTGTGGTGTGTGTGTGTGTGTGTGTGTGTGTGTGTGTGTGTGTGTGTGTATGTGTGTGTGTGTGTGTGTGTGTGTGTGTGTGCGTGCGTGCGTGCGTGTGTGCGTGCGTGCGTGCGTGCATGTGCTTGTGCGTCTACGTCATTGAGACCTCACGACATGCGTAGCTGCTGAGGCTGTACGGCGTCGCCTGCCTCCCACTTTGGCGGGAAGGGCGGGCACCGTGGCACCTTGAGCCCCTTGCCTCCGGTTTACCACACGTGTAGCCTAGCCACTTCACCATCGGTACCCTGGCTGCGCAAACTGACACCGTCCCGAGTCCGAAGAAGCAGCCACAAGCCGCTGACTGTGGCCTCGCTCGGGTGCCGGGGGTGGTGGAGGGTGAGGGGTGGAGGGAGGGGGGAGGGCTCGGCCCGTGGTGTCGCTGTCCTCTGGCCGGCCGCCGCGGTCGCCCCCTCTGACGCCGCCGGTACCTTCTCGTGGCCAGGTGCAGATCAGCTGGACAGGCGGGCCGACGGCATTGTGACGAGCGGTAAATGACCGGCAGCGCTGACCTAACGTGACCTAACGCGGCGGGCGGGTGCACGCCTGGGCGCTAACACACTCACGAGCTGGCGCGTTGTAGGCTGGTAGTTTGACGTGTTGTTTCATCTTCGCATGCGGCTTGGAGTTGACGAGACGTGACTGTGGCCGTCGGCTGACAGTGCGGATGTGTTGCTTAGTGATGCCCCCGAACTAGTGTCTCACCTTCGCATGCGGCTTGGAGCTGACGTAGAACTTCAGCCAGCGGTCGGCTATGCAAAGGTGCTGCTTATGCCACGGTTTATGCGAACGGAGGCAATTACAACAAAAATATCGATGGCGCAGTCAGCAGATGGCGTGTGTAGCGTAGGTTTCAAGTCATGTAGGTGAAGTTTTCTCACCAATATGCCTTGAAACTGATCACACACCGTTGTGCCTGCCTCTTAGCTGACCTGTATTCTATAGTTGCAGAAAAGTATATGCTCATTGATATGCACGATTAAGGTTCCATTGTGTCTTGTACGCCGTCCAGTTGCTTTTGCCGTTTTTCCTGCGATACGGCATATTTGAGCATGCGTTCGGTGGCTTACATGCGAGCCACTCGGCGATGGTGTCGCTCCAATGTCTTACACCACTAACCATAATAACGTGGCTTCTTATCCGTTTAGGGAAGATTGTTTCAGAAGCAAGCCTTAACGACCTTTGGGCTGCGTTAAGCGTGGGTGCAAATCGCAGTTTAGAGCTTGTTCACTGTCTGGTTGGCTGGTCGGGCTAGTTGGTATTACAGACATCTCTTGCGATATGAACTGTGATGGAACACTTTATTGTAAGTCATAATATATTATTATTATCATTAGTCATAATATATCATGATAAAGTATTACCAAAATTTTAAGTCATGGTCTAGCTGAGCATCAACAACTACTAAACATATAGTGTCCTTGGATCCATAGCTCAAAAGCTAATTGGATGTCCGTCTGTTTCTCATACGATTCATTGTATCATGCACCGCCGTTTGCATCACTCACTTTTTATAACTGCTGGCAGCATTAGAAAATTCGCCCAAAAATGCACCCCAGCGCATCATGCCACATGAACAGCCGGCCACGGGCCTGCAGAATGCTTCCGTGCAGGCTGGCAAACGTGGCGAGGACGACTGTGAACAGGCTTTGTCGCGTGAGCATAACGGACGCCGGCCGGCAGGCACCGAGGAGGACCAAGAGGCTACCGACATGCTGGTGGGCAACGCCCAGAACCTGATTGCAGTCAGTCAAGGAGACAGTGCGCGCCGCCGAGGCGGCCAGCATCAAGATGCGCACAGACGCTGGCATCCGGCTGCGCTGGGTCCGCAAGTCGCCCTGGTACCAGTAGCCGTCCATAACCCCCGCTGCACCGTACAAACGGGCCGTGGCGTCGGCAGCAGCCCGCCCGGTCGCCGCTCGTGTGCAATTGTGGCTCGCCAGGCGCGACCGAACCGGCGTGTGACATCCGGCCGTCGTCCTGGCCGGGGCCGTCGCCGTCCGGCGCGTTCTTCACCACAGGGTTTTAAGCTATTCAGCATGAGAAGCAACTAACCTGGGCAGGATTGTTGGATCTGTGTAGGTTTCAGGTTCCCCGTAGTTTTTACGACGCTTTGTTTAGTCTTTACGCTGTGGCTGATAGGTACGATCTGTTGCGAGCTGCTAGTGGGTCGACGGTCCGGTTCGGCGGTGTACAACTAAAATGCGTCTACACTGCCATGGTCGCAAAGCGCTCGCAATGCATACTGCCTGAACTAGCCTACCTCGCCGGCCGTATGGCGAAGTCGTCGCGTCACGCCCGTGACGTCGTCACAGCTTTCCGGTGCATGCTGATGTTTACAAGTGCCAACCGAAGACGCTTAACAGTGGCCGATGCGGCTGATTTTGGTCGTTTGTTTAATGAATGTGCGAACGCTGAGGATGCGCACGCGGAGGATAACAATTGTTTACTGCATGTGTTAGGATTTAAGAAACTAATGTCTGCTGCGTTGTCTAGCTGGATAAACAGTGTATGTGACTCATCGATGGTATTGCGTGTCCGACGCACGCACAGCGATTTTTAACAACCAAATGCAGCTTGAGAACGGGCAGCCAATGTCGAATGCAGCTTGAGAAACGGGCAGCGAACGTTTTTAGGTAGACTACGTCGACACGATGCGGTGGCCGAGCCAGCGCTTACGCGTTATTAATGGTGTGTGCACGTGTTACCTGCTTCGGTTGAAAATTTGCGGTTTAGAATTTCGATGGGTGCGAGCACCTCGGTCTTGAAATAGACCTACGCCGTTTAAGCGGACGCCTGGGCGCAGGACTGACCGCGGCCTCGGTCGTACTTTACTGACGCCCGTTTCTGAGCACAGTCGTGTTCTCGCCAGTTGTTGTTTGGAGCATCAGTTTCCTACCGCAGCTCGGCGAACCACTAACAAACGTCACCACCGGGGCGCGTGTCGCCCACCGCCGGTGTCGCGTACCCGGCACGCGAGGCTGGATGGTACAAAAGGTCATCACACGTGGACAGGATGGGGGGGGGGGGCGAGCCTGTGCCCCTAGCCTGACAGTTTAAAGGGCAGAGCCCTGGCTGCAGTCAATCTGTGCAGCAGCCGGTGCGGTCGGCGCCGCCAAGCGCGTGCTGTTAGGCAGGGACAGGGCGGCACGACAGCGGCAGCGACAGCGCAGGGGACCGGCTGTCACCCTCCACTGCCGCGCGTCGCTGCGCCGCCGGCAGCGCAGCGGCGCACGGCTCTGGCCCCTGCTGGGGCCACGCCGCAGGTGCCTGAGGTCGGTTCACCGCGATCGATCGGACGCCCCGCCCCGCTCGGTCAGCCGGCTGTCGTCGATGACGTGCCTCCGTTTTGTCGCTATGGGATTGCTAAAACCTCTGTGAAATAAACTTGCTAAACAGCGCTACGTTTCTTCGGGAATGAGTTTCCGCTGGTCGTTTTCCCCGACGGATCATCCCGCCGAATCCGCGAAGTTCACAGGTTACCTTCCCTATTCAGGCGGCGCAGAATGCGTCCTTAGAGGCGTAAGTATGGTGCATGTGTGGTGCGTGCCGAATCTGACCAACGCGACATTTCCCATGGTGGTCAACAGGTGGCGTTAGGCTCGTCATGACAGTCTCGTTTTTGGCAATCTGGATCTCACCTCTCACTGTGGGGCGAGATCCGGACTGCCAAAGATGTGCGTAACTCCTAATACGTCGGACGTAGCAGCGGTACCCCGGCAGCAATTTCAGCGTGTTCACGCCGTAGATCCGAGAGCCATGATATCGGCATAGGTCGTCATATTCATCGCATGGATGGGCAGTTTCAAGGAATTGATGCTGCCGTGATCATTTGGGACAAAATTACCACATAAACAAGTTTTAAACCCAACTCAATCTGGAAATTCGGCGCACTTTGGCCTGAGCGCGTTCGACCCACTCGTGCCTCAGCATCAGCGCACCGGTGCGACGCGGACGCGTGCGGCGCAGACGGGATTGTTGCAAATCGCATATGGTCCCTTTTGCCTGGTGGTACCCAAATGCGCGCGCTGACTGATGGAGTCCGGCTTTATTTGGCCACGGAAGTGATGCACGTGACCAGGTCGCGCGTCCCGGCAGCCAGCCGTGCACAGCAGCCCAGGACATTTGGCCCAGATCCCCGGTCCCGGCAGCCAGCCGCGTACAGCAGTTCAGGACGTTTGGCGTTAACTTTATTATTACACCAATATATAAACAACAAAACACGCTCACCCACGGCTGGCAGTGATGGAGAGGTCAATGCTCTAAAATACACCCAACGTAACTCATACATTGCGTGAGGCTATGATTGCAACACAGGCTCGGTGACGCTGATTGAAATTTGTACTCGTTTAGAAGTCTACCCGACAAGACTGAGCAAAATTCAAGATGGTGTAAATGAGGAAGGCAGTATCGAACGCCAGCGCCAGCGCAGCCACGGCCACAGCCGGCGCGACAGAGCCGGCGCGGACCGGCGGCGCGCGGTCCCCAGCCGGGCTGTCGCGCCGGCCGGCCGCCCGGTGAACACACACTGACCGACAGGGGCGCGCGCACAGGAGCGCGGCCCCGCGGCTCACCCACCCACTATGGCTCTACGGAAGCGGCGGACACAGGACAGCGGCCGGCCGCCACGCGCCGGCCGCACCTCATAAACAGAGCGGGTAACAACTGGACTGAGCTCAGTAATGAGGCGTGTGGTGCCTGCCGGCGCCGAGGCCGGCCGCCTCCCGCTAGAATGCCCATTCAAACCCAGGCACACCTCGGCGGCGTGTAAAACAAGCGCTAAACTCAACGGGCGAGGAAACAACAGAATACGGCAGGCGGGGCGTACTGACTAACACACGCTACCGACCACTGGGTGGACCGCGCACCGGGCGGCAAGGCTGCCGCGCGAACCCGCATCAAGCAGAGGGGGCCGCCCCCAGCGGACACCACACCGTACAAAATACACCGTCACGTCATCGCCCAGGGCGGGCGCCGGCACACGCACATAGACCATCTAACCAGTAACAAAGTGGCAGTGAACAACATATACCGCATTCCGTTATGTCCGGCCTCGACTCTAACACAGACCCGCTCACTCGACTACTCGTTCGTTGCACGTCAGCTGGGGGGCGGCTGGCTCGCGGCGGCGGCGCTCGGTAAATGCAGCTGCGCCGGAGGGGGCCGCGTCTCGGCGGCTCTGGCAGTGGGAGGGGAGGGGGGGGCGTCACGCGGGTCCGGCCCCGGCGGGCCGCCGCCGGACGGGACGGCAGCTCGATCGGAGTAGCTGATGACGACGGGCGGGCGACACTACGGCCGACCACCGGGCGCACCTGCGGGGAGGCGGGACGTGACGTCAAAGGCACGGGGGACAGCCTCTCCCCATCACCACACGCGCCATCGCGCGGCTACGTGCCGCGTCACGACACTCACATCCGACTGGCGAGACACGAAAAAACCTCGCGAGACGTACCACACCCCTGGCATGGCTCTCCGACCCCGCCTGTTGCAGCCGCCCCACCCGAGCGTCCGCGGCCTGCTGGCCTGCCCCTCTGTCGACCCGCCACTGACCTGCGGGCCGCGCGGTGTGCTGCGGCTGGCCGGCGCGCGGCGCCAGCAGGGGCCCTCGGCCCCGGCTCGCCGCCGCCCAGGTGGGAGCTGAAGCTGGTCAGCGGAGCCATGGTGGGCAGCGTGACGGCGGCCGCCGGCGCCGGCGCGCCGGACCGGCCCGACCAGTACCGGCTCTGCGAGTGCGGGAACTTCTTGCGGAAGTGGTGGTCGTACTGGTGCGTCTCGTCGTCGCCGGGCCCGGCCGGCTCCGGCGTGCTGACGCGCCCGTCGGCGCGGCTCGAGCGCTTGAACTTGAGCGCCATGGTGAGGTCGTGGCCGGAGGCGGCGGGCGCGGCCACCGGCCGCGGTGGAGAGCTGCGGTGCGCCGGCGACACGCCGGCCGAGCGCGGCGACGCGCCGTCCGACGACTTGCGCCGCTTGATCTCGTCGGCCACGGCGAAGATGCGCTCAAAGTCCATGTTGATGTCCTTCTGGGCGGCGCTGGGCGACTGAGAACGATCTGCGGAGCGACACCCAGTGACAACCTGGTCTGCGGAGCGACACCCAGTGGCAACCTGATCTGCGGAGCGACACCCAGTGACCACATGAGGCTACCGCACACGGTTCAGCGTCCCAGTGGAAGGCCGAGAACAAACCAGGTAGAATGCCAGCAGCGCTGCTACAGCATGTCTGGGGAAGCGCTGACGTCCCGTTCCAAGGGAACAGATCGGCGCATGACGCCGATGAACAGTATTACATGAAAGATGGCGTTGCTATAAAAGTAACGTCTACCACGGACATGCGCATCTGCCCTAAGGAACCGATCGCAACGAACACATTTACTGCGCTGCAGTAAAGTCCAAAAGTTCGTCGCACATCCACCTCCTAATCAGAGGAAAGCGACACAGGAGCCGTAGTGGGCCACCTACCGGAGTCATGCGGCCGATGGTGGGCGGCGGCGGCGGTGGTGGCACGCTCCTCATGTCGGCTCCGCTTGCCGGCCGACGGGCCCGGCTCAGGCGTGGCTGGCGCGCCGGCCGGCCGCTTCACGCTCGCAGGCTCGTCGCGCACGTAGCGGGCGTGCAGCGAGGCGGCCAGGCCCTCCATTGGCAGGCCGGCCAGCGCCTCGTACCCGCCGCCTGCGCCGCCCGCGCCGCCTGCGCCGCCCGACGCCGAGTGGCCGGCGGTGGGCGGCGCCGGCCGCGCGCGCGGCGGGAAGGCGGCCGGGGCGAGCGGCGCGGCCGGCGAGGCGCGGCTCAGCTCGCGGAAGTGCGCCGGGTCGGCCAGGCCCTCCAGCTGCACGGCGGCCGCCTCGGCGCTGCTCGGCCGCGAGATGGGCGAGTAGGCCGGCGGCGCCACCTTCCGGTCAGGCGCACCACCACCGCCGCCGCCACCGCCGCCGCCACCGCTGCTGCTGCTGCCACGCAGGCCCTCCTCGATGGCGCGCGACGTGAGAACGCCCACCGTCGGCCCGCCGCCGCTGCCGCTGCCACTGCCGCCGCCGCCGCCGCCGCCGCTGCCGCTGCTGAAGCTCATGTCGACGGCGGCGTGGACGGGGCCCTTGTGCGCGGCGTGGCCGGGCTCGGAATCCGTGTTGAGCCGCTCCTGGGACAGGTGGCGGCGCAGCGCCAGCTTGGCAGGCGAGAACTGCGTGTAGTCGGGCTGGTGGGCGGCCGGCAGGCGGCCCAGCAGCCGCGGCCCGGCGGCCTCCTCGCCCGGCGGCGGGTAGGCCGCGCCGGCCGCGCGGAACCCGCCCTCCTCCGAGGGCTTGTCCTCGTTCAGGAAGCAGGTGATCATACTCTTCAGCCGGTCCTCGAAGTTGTTCACCTTGGGCGGCTCGTGGACGCGCTGCACGCCAAAACCACGCCGCTCGGGCTCGCGGCGGGCGGCCGGCGGTGGCGGCGGCGGCGGAGGGGGCGGCGGCGGCGGCGGTGGCGGAGCGCGCGCCGCGCCCTCCTGCGCCGGGCTTGGCGAGCTGCGAATCACTGGAATCTTGCCCGCCTCGATCTGACGACCTGTCTCCAGGATCTTGCGCGCCAGCAGCTCGGGGTTTTTCTCGTGGATCTTGCCAATGTCGGGCACCTTGGGCCACTCCTGGTTGCGGCTCTTGTGACGCGCCTTCTGGCCGGCCTGCAGCGCGCCGGCGGCGGCGGCGGCGGACGACGATGCCGGCGGCGGCGCGAACACCTGGTGGCCGGCAGACGGCGGAGCGACGGCAGCGGCGGCGGCGGCTGCGGCGGCCAGCTGCAGCTGCTGGCTGGCCTGCTTCTCGGCGGCCGACCGCTCCAACATCTGCACCTCGTTCTCCAGCAGTCGGATCTCGCCCTGGACGCGGCGCCGGGCGGCGAACGTGCGCGATATCTCCTGCATCACCAGCTCGTGCGTCACCGTGTCCTGCGACAGGGCACGGCGGTCAGCGGCCCGGCGCAGAGGTCAGGCACAGGGCCAGGTCAGAGGTTGCGTGTTCAGACCACAGGGGGTAGGCGCCATGTGCGGGCCGACGGACAGTTTGCAATGATTCAAACTCTGAGTGTACCCGCTGAACAGCTCGGGGACTTGACAAGAGCCTCACTCTCGGCCCCCTGTGGCGCCGACGGCAACCAACGGCGTTCGATTAACACTTGAGATATTGCAGACTTGATAGACATTATCGTCCACTGGTCCGTGGCTCTCACCTTGCTGAGCGTTTAAGGTTACGTTTGTTTACGTGAAAAACTGTTTTCATTGCGGTGTGCGTTAACACCGCAATCGTTTGAAAAATTAAGTCACATAGCCTACAATACGTCCCTTGCAACTTGCGTACAAGATCATAGTCTTATGTGCGCGCACATCGCATGGTATTACAAACCTGATGGAATATTTTAGTGCACGGGCAATAATAATGCATTGCGTGCCCAATACGCCTACCAGGGGTATCGACAACAGAAAGGCAGGAGCAGGCCCCGCAGTTCAGATTGATGGTTTGCATCCAGCGCGTCGAGAGTTTGCTCACATTCCTCTCCACCCCCATCCCGGTTCTGGCTACCCTCCAACCTGGTAAGTCCCCCTGTCGTCGGCTCCACACCAAATATGGAACGTCGGATCGCCGAATGGAGGGGGGGGGGGGGGAGGTGACCGAACTCGTCCAACGAATGAGAGCTCGTAAGCGTCGGCCAAACGAATGACAGCGTGCGGTATGACTTTATCATTAGCGCAGCAACATAAAAAGGGCCTCTGTAAGACCACCCTACCACGCCCAATCCAGTGGCAATGCTGCATATGTGCGTAGCCAAACATCAGGGTATCTTAACACACGCTCGGGTTGGTGGAGGGAGATTCGAGATCCAACACTTTGCATGGCTGCAGGCGATTGAATGGCGGATCTTTTGGGATGATAACGTTTGCTGTACCTTTAAGATCTTAATGTATGGGCGGGTCAAGGTCAGGCCGTGGCTGTAAGCGAAGGCACTTTCTATGGTATCGTTCAATCCGGTGTGACAGCGGAGTGTTCGACGAGGCCATACATCTCTGAGATAGTTTTGTAAGCAAACAACAATTAAATTTGAGATGACAACAAATTCCATTGACCTGGGGGGAGGTATGAAGGTTAGACCGAGGTCAAGACCAACCTACTTTCTCACTTGAAAGCTCTTCGAAGTATTCTGGTGTTCACTTGGAATTTAATAACAGGGACCATAGCAGACATCTTCCATGGATTTCAGGTCAAGCTTTTGTTTTTAGGAGCATATCGACAAGCGCAAGCCTTTGGCGCTTATTCAGACGCAAAACTCAAAGCCATTCGGTAGGATTTTGGTCACTATGACATTCGTACAGTCAAACAAGGCCACTGACCTTAAATGAACACCAGTGACCTTATGCTCAGAACAGTCGCCCATGCTCAAGGCGGTCACATGACGAGATCTGGGGGCACTTGGACACCAATCCTGAGTTTGAACTTGCTCCGCCTCATTCGAGCCGAAGATAGTGACCTAGGAACCTCAAATTTCGGCACAAGTGAGTTCACATGCAAGCCGACCCACCCTGTGAATTTCATGTCTGTAGTTCGCTTGTTTCGAGGCCGCAGGGTGGTCAAATTGCACCGCCCAATCAAGAGACGGGAATTCAATCGGCCACCCGCGCGCGTGTTAAACGGCGTGGGCTTCAATAAGGCTTCACGTCCGTGGCGCGCACACTCTCGATTCGGGAGACAATGCGCCGCATTCCTCTTGAGGTCATTACCACCCCGTCGTTTCTCCATACGCAATGCGACGCGTCTGAACGCGGTAGCTGACAAGAATTGCCGGCGGCTTAACCATCGCGAGGACGGGTGGGGTGAGCAGCTCCTCCGGTATTGCGCGGATAGCTTCCCGGACGTTCGACCTCACCGACCTCAGCCCTCGTTCTCACGGACGTTCACGACGGTAACATGAAACTCGGCACTCCGCGACGGTTTAATACGGCGGCGGTTTAATACGACGGCGCGCTCCACATTTTCATGTCAGCCGGCTCTTAAGGTGTGAGTGGTTACGCGGCTAACTTCGTGTCGTGCGTCATTACTACATCAGGTCAATGTTGATGTAATAAGTCAAGTCATGTCTACAGCTCACCTGCAGTCAAATCCTGTGGAACGCCAGTATCCATGTTTGACCATTGCAATAAATTAAGAAATTTGCAAATATCACCACAAATTAAGACTAAATGCTAGGTTAGGACAGTAGTAATTGCCCTATTCCTTGGAGAAAACCATGAGAATGGTACACAGATGGTAACCTATCTTTATCTCCATTTTCATGGTTTTCTCCGCGGAACAGGGCTCTTACTACTGTGTCATCTACGTCAATAATGTTCCTCGCATATGCACTGAGCAACTGACATTCACGCTAGGTTATCTGAGGACAAGGCCATGATCACGAAACAGCTTCAGGCGATACAGAGACTGACGGAGATTGCAGGTTGAACTTAAATGGTTGATATTGATCTAGTGTTAGGACTTTGCCATCCGTTTTGTACGGGCGACGTTACCCTATCGACCTTGACCTGACCGCTCGTGATGGCTCCATCGCGTGATAAACATAGTCTTAAGTGCACCTTAAACATGAACAACGGCGCGACTACACCTTTGCAGCCAGTTTTGACTTTGGCCTTTTAAATAGCATACGGAATGTAGGTCTATTTTCGGTACCATTGATGTTATAACGCCCCCCCCCCCCTCCCCCCCCCCCCCCGACCAGTTGTCAACTGATACTCGAGAACGTCAATAAAGCCAGCAGGTAACGTTGACTATGGCATCTCCGCTGGTGCAGGAAACGTCTCGCAGGACGTATGGTCTTCCCAGAAAGGAACATCGATAAACCTGATATCGAATTTATCGGGCCTTTCCGCCCTGGCAAGCAACAGATCTCGGTCAATGCACGTAAAGGAATGTTGTCATTCGCTCTGCCCAATGCCCGTTCCGGAATGTTCTGCCAAATTGTGTTTCAAGTTTTGCTTGCCATTTTTCGCAATTCTCGCAGTACGCAACATCTGAGTGAACTTTGCAGTAACTTTTGAACGCATCACGACCCAAGTATCGGTAAACTAACCGTACTTGTACGTTCCAGACGACCATATCGCAGAGCAGCGTGGTATGGCCGGTAAAATACCGACCGAGGCGTAACAAGGCTACACAGGCGGCCAGCGATCTGAACACCGAACACCAGGCCAATCCGGGCGCCAGATCACCAAACACCCCAACGGGCCACCCGCAGCCCGTTCAGACACCAGACCGAGAATGGATCGGAGCTGGCCGCATCTCTGCACCCGTGGAGGGATCCCGTTATCGGCCCGGACCAGTGGTCCCGGGTCCGTCACCAGGGGACAGGGTACGCGGGTGGGGGGGGGGGAGGGGTCAGGGGGGGGGGGGCTGCCAGCCGTCCGTGGGGTTTCGACAGACGGGAGGCGGGCCAGTGGAGCCTATCTAGGCATACAACAAGCGGGGTCCAGCAGGGTTTGTGCAGGGTGGCCCGTCTGACCAGTGTGCAATACGCAAATCGTGCAGATCACAACGTTTATTCAGCTTGCCCATCAGGCGTCAAGGTGCAGGGGCGTTAAAAGCATCTGTCAAGCAAACAAAAGATTCAAAGCGACACAGGCCGAATACCAGACAGCGTGGAAACATGCAATAATTAGCCACACAAAAGCATCCGAGTCAAGGTGGTAAAAAGCATCATACAGCAAAAGCAAGAACGAAGTGACATCAAAAGAAATGTTAATAGCGGGCGGTCGACGGTCAAGGGCCAATCAACTGCAGCCTTCGAAAATGCATTTAAGCGTGACAGAAAAGGGTCCGTTGTCGAACGCGGCTACCAGAAAAGCAGCAAACCCTGTACTTTATCACAAATCTATAGTTTATCTCAGTTCCTCACTCTCACACTTCTGAACACATGAGATCAAGATATATCAAAGCTATGACAACTGATTGGCGATCATTTGAGTCTAATCTAAATTCAACAAACCCCTACACATGTAACTCCGGACCCAACTGGGAGGGTAAAGCGTCACTGCCACCCAGCCAGCACCGTCGTAATCACGCACGTGGTCCTCCACGCAGCGCACGCCATTCGTGAAAGACAAAGCAAGCGTATATGACCCGGATCAGGCCGGCTCTCGGTTAAACGCCACCACCATGCGTCATGCAGCAGCGGTGAGGCCGGGGCGGCACGGCGCCGGGCCGGGCGAGACGGGGCGGGTCCGGTCAGGCCGGCACAGCCGCCCGGCCCCGCCCGGTCCGGTGTACCTCCACCAGCCGGCCCGCAAACTGGGCACATACTTCCTTGCCGGCAGCGGCTGCGGCGGCCGCTGGCGGAGGCGGCCGCTCCGACTCGGCCGGGCTCGGCTGGGTCATCGCCATCCGCTGCCGCTGCTGCTGCTGCTGCTGCTGTTGCTGCTGCTGTTGCTGCTGTTGTTGCTGCTGTTGCTGCTGTTGTTGTTGTTGCTGCTGCTGTTGTTGCTGCTGCTGTTGCTGTTGGTGCTGCTCCATGGTAGCGACCTGCGCGGCACGACGGAGCGGCGGAGGGCCGCTGAGTCACGGAAGCCGGCCGCAAGCCCCGTGATTGGAGACATAGTCTGACGAGACACACAGCCCCGGACACCGGCTGATGGGTTTCAGTCACACCCCCACACCCCCGTACTGACGGCACTCACACCTCCCCCCTCCCTCCCACCCCCAGCAAACACATACAAACTGATGGCGGCTCACTGTCTCTCCCACGGCAAAAATATAACGAATGCAACGAGTCCCTTCAAAGTCCAGTTCAAGACAACAACCGTAAATTTGTAAGTTAAGCGCATCATGCTGTAAGCAAGATGCTACGTTAAATTAGCATTGTGCCACACTGCATGATAATTACATTCGTGCTATGATGCACTACGTTGTGTTACACCTGTGTGATACTATGGTATCCTGCGCTAAAACGCCACGCTACACTAAACCTTTACACCTCCTGTCCGCAGACACGGGCCTGGCAGCGGTAGACCTCCGCTGTGACCGCCGCCAGCCGGCGTGGCCGGGCGTTCGCCGCCGTCCCCAGACGGCCGCTCTGGCCCTCTCACCTCCGTCTCCATGGCAGCGGCTCGCTCCTGCAGCTCGCGGTGGCGCATCACAATCTCCTTGGCCTTGACGATCAGCTCCTCCGGCTTGCTGGCCTCGATGCCCAGCTCGGCGATGCGTCGCTTCAGGAAGCCGAGGCTCTCGGCCTTCAGGTGCTCGATCTGCGCCTCCAGCTGACTGGTGCGTCCCTTGAGCTCCCGCTGCCGCACCTGGCCAGGGTCAGGGGATCATACCTCGGTCATCAACAGGTCGGAGGCAACGGCGAGTCGGGGGGAGGGGCGCGCGGCTGGCAGCCCTTCCATCAAGTTCTGCATCGCCCTGCACACAGGAAGCCTTCAAACAACTACTGCACATCTCTCAGCAAGCCGCGCACCTGAAAACACGGCCTGCTCTCGTCCAAGCGTCTCCCCCGGGGTCGCCGGCGCGGCCGCCGGTCGCGACGCGCCCAGCCAGCACGCGGCCGCCGGCGCAGGGCGTCACCCACCCGCTCTCGCTCGATATCAAGCTCCACGGAGCGCCGGAAGTCGGCCGTCTGCATGCGCTGGATGAACTGCATATATTGGTTCTTGATGGACTCGAGCAGCAGCTGGAGGCCGTACGGCACGTCGCCGGCAGTCAGCTCCGGCGGCAGCTCCTGGTGGCTGAGCACGCCGCCCAGCGCCACAGACGACAGCTTCTGGTCGACGGTGCCCGGCGCCACGTCCTCCGGCGCCGTCACTGCCGCCGGGGCCGAGCACGGGGTCACCACCGGAGCGCGGGTCATCACCGGGGCGTGGGTCGCCACCGGACCGAGGGGCATCATCAGAGCGAGAGGCATCATCGGAGCGCGGGTGATCATCGGACAACGGGTCATCATCAGAGCGAGAGGCATCATCGGAGCGCGGGTGATCATCGGAGAGCGGGTCATCATCGGAGCGCAGGGTCATCACTAGAGCGCGGGGTCACCACAGGAGCGCAGGGTCACCGCTGGAGCGCGGGTCGTCCAAGGCAGGGCGTGAGCATCAGCGCGTTCGCCCATGACAGCAAGGTGTCTGCACCTCCCTAAGCGTTGCCCTACGACAGGGCGACGAGCGCAGGCCGCCTCCACCGCGCCCCGTGCCGCGTCGCGCCAGCGCGCCCACTCACCCATGTGCGTGGTGCTGAGCAGCGTCTTGCTGTGCAGCACGTCCAGGCCGGAGATGTTCAGCTTGCGCTTGCGGCCCGGCTTCCTGCCCTTGCCAGCGACAGTGCGCTTCAGCTGCACGGGCGGCACGGTGGCGGCGGCGGCAGCACGCACCTGAGGCCGCGCGCGCGGCAGCTTCCGCGTCAGCCGCCGCTTCGGCTTACGCTGATTGGCTGCACGGCAGGACGGGTGCGGCGTTAGCGGCCAAGACATGGACAGGTATGAGAAATCAGGTGTGCCAACTTTGTGAAATACACGTCTTCGAAATAAGCGGCAAAATGTGGTAAGTGGTGCCAGTCATAATAACCAACTGTACACCTGGTTTCGTCGCAGCAGCATAACGAGGCCATTATGGAAACAGTTGAAATGCAACGTGAATGCTGTCACGCCTAGCAACGCAAACAATGGAGCATCAACGTAAGCGCTCACGGACTCTGAACTCCACAACTTTGCATCCAACTCGACCGTACTCAAACAAACCAGAGGACGTTAATTCATGCTGTCTACAAGAAACACAGATAGTGACGTTATGGGAGCGAGAGCGGGCCGGGCCGCCCGAGCCAGGGTCGCACCGGCGGCCGCCAAACCTGGGACGGCCGGCTCGCCGCCGCCGCCGCCCGTCATGCACTACGGGAGTCGGTGCGGGGCGGACACCGCCGCGCCGCTCGCGCGTGGAGCAGGACGCGCCGCCGTAGCCGGCACCGCAGCAGCCCACTAAAAGCGCCGGCACACGTCAGACAGCCGAACGGACGGACGAGCCGGAGCCGCGGGCACGCGCCGGACGAGCGGGCGCCGCGTGCAGGACCAAACAAAAGAGAGGGACAGACAGAGACGGCCAGGCCACTCTCAGACCGGCCAGCGCACACGACCGTCTAGCTACGGGCGGGCGTGGTCATGCACACGCGGCGCCGCACTCACCGGCGCGCCGTGGGCGGCCGGGCCGCAGCTCCGGCTCGTCCTCGGCGTCGCCGTCGTGGTCCGAGACGGCTGGCGGTGGTGAGTCGGGCGGCGGCGAGTGTGGCTGCTGCGGCGGCGGCGGCGGCGGCGGCAGAGGAGGAGACGGCGGCGGTGGCGGCGGCGGCGGCGGCGGAGCTGGCGGGGAAGCGGGCGCCGACGCCACGGCCTGCGCCGGGTGGCGCGCCACCCACGAGGTCCAGGCGCGACGCGTGGTTGGGCCGGGCGGCGGCGGCGGGTGGCGGCGGCGGCGGCGGGGGCCGCGGCGTCTCATCCTCACACCTACCGGCCTCCTTGGCGTCCGAGTCGCCGCTGCTGGAGTCCAGCAGCAGGGACTTGGCATCGGAGCGCCGGGTGGCCGAGCGGCTGCTGCGGCCTGACGAACCGCCTGAGTCGTCCTCCTACCGGCGCCAGGCGCGTCCCGTCTCTCACACGCTGGCCGGCCGCGTGTCACGGCCTCCACAGCCCGATCGAGCGTAGCACGATAACCGAGTCAACGGTGTTGGTCTTACATAGCTGTCCGCGTCCGTTACTCGTAAGATCTTTTCACGGGGACGGCAGCGTAATGACGTACAATTACAACGTAACTGAATGGATTTATTTTCTCCTACATACACAGCATGTAAGTTGACTTTCCTGTCCAAAACCGCACCACACACTGTGAGAACTCTAGGTCATCCGTGCTACTCACCGGATTCTTCAGCTTCTGGAAGTAGCGCTCCAGCTTGGTGCGGTCTATCTCCTGCATGAAGTACGAGACGGGCTTGCCGGTCCAGGAGACGGAGCCCAGCACCGGGGCCAGCTCCGTGATGTGCATGATGGTGCCGATGTCTGCAACACAAGCCCAGCTCAGCGCCGCGTCGCCAGGCGCACACGGACTGAGTGGCCCCAGTGTGCGGTGGCTGGCATTTCAACGCAAACTTGTGATGACGTTGGCAGCTCATGTGTGTGATCAACTAATGCGAGGAGCTGGACCGGCCGGGCCGCTGGCGGCCAGCCGGGACCTCCTAACCCACCGCTCAGGTTTCTGTCCGACATGCGGAAGTTGAGCGGACAGAACGCCTTCGAAGAGACGATGCGTGCGCCGTCCTTCAGGTCTTGGAAGATGGTCTTCAGGTGGTGGTCGACGGTGGGACCGAACGCGAAGTTGTTGACGAACACCAGCGTCGCTGATGTGATCTTTTCGCGGTGCTCCTGCTTCAGGAAGTCTCCCTCAATCAATTGATAGTCGCTGTGCTTCTTGCCGTACCACTTCATCCACTGCCGGAAGTTCTTGTCCAGCGCCTGTATAACGGAGGGGAAGTGGAAGTGAGCAGCGCTCAGCGTAGGCCGCGGCCAAAACGCCCCCCGGTTCAGGTCAGCAACATTCCAGTGAAATCAAAATGTGAGCAGATCAAACAGTGCGTGATCCGAGACAAGGATTTAGCGGCACTCAATATGTGGTCCGAACTCCATAAAGGAAGCTAAAGCAGACATTCAGGCACTAGGTTATTACGAATTCAGAGAGCCGTTCTACACTACACGTGTCCCACCTTGGCGTATCGGCAGGGCGTCTCGGCCTTCTCGATGCCGACGCAGATCTTGCAGGGCGTGGCAGCCGCCATCTGCAGGATGACCTGGCCCACCCCGGAGCCCAGGTCGATAAACACGTCGTTCTCGGTCAGCGGCCGCTGGTCGATCATCTGGCAGATCAGGTCGAACGACGTCTCGCCGTACACCTGGCAACACAGCGCCGGGTCAGTTCAGGTCAGGTCAGGTCAGGTCAGGTCAGGCCGGCGGCGACACATCAGGTCACCATCTGTGGCCGTCCGCACCAGCAGGACAGAGCTGTCCCCGCCGGCCGGGTGACAGAGCGAACCACGCACGCTCGCCGGCTCCTAGTCGCGTCGGATATCCACACTGCGATCGCATCACACATCGCGACAGGCCATCGCTGGGAGCGCCTGCCGCCACGGCCGACCGAACGCGGTACGGCACCCGCCTGCGGAGAGAGCGGATGGCGGCGAGAAGGCCCGTGCCACCTGTCCACGCACCTCGGACGTAACCTGACCTCGGGACGACATGGGCCGCACTGACCTCGAGTGGAAAGGGTTCATAATGAGCTCAGATGAGAACGGATCAGCCCCAGCAGGTCCCACTGACATCAAACCAGTAGTACTGACCTCGGGCGAGAAGGGCTCGTACTGATTCAGCCGGTCTGGGTCTTCCACGGCCTGGTTGTACACCTGCTGGATGATGTGGCGCAGCAGGTCGCGCGACGGCCTCTTGTTGAAGCGCTGTGCCGGTCGGGAGGTGCCCCGCTCCTGCGGCGCGACAGCCGTCAGCACGCGACGCCGCAGCGGCGGCGGTGCAATCTCCCGCCATATCAACGTGGCATGCATGTCGCATCAACATAGCAGCATTCTACTTGCATTCATTCACACAATCGAAAACCCCTCAGTGTGCAAGGCTTATGCCAACCACACATTTTTTAAAGAAGGGCATTCATTCATAGTCAAAAACTGGTCAGTGTGCAGGGTTTAAGATAACCACACATTTTTTTTCCAGAACAATCAATCAGTGACAGCACAGACCCAAGCAAACATCCATTTCAGGAGATGTACCAAGTGCATGTATTGGTCAAGGAACTTGGGAAAACACACCTCTGTAGCTTATAAATACAAGGGTATATGACAATGCACAAAGACATACCAGCTGAAGTATGCTGTCAATTGCTCTGTTGTACCTATCACAAAGATTTTTCATGCTTTCATAGCTGAAACAGAAACAAAAACGTGTTTACATATTTACAACAATGTCAAATTGAGCAAATATTTACTGATTCCAATATAATGAAAAAGAGCTGTAAAGATAAGCAATGCAAATGTAGCATCAAATTACCTAATACTGCATGATTGGCTGTAAACACAACATCTAATGATAACATATGTTGACACTGTTCTAATGACACCACATAATGGCTGTAAGTAAACCATCAAATGGCACTGTATGTTGGCACTGCTCTAGTGGCACCCTATTATTGCTTCAAATAAAAGATATGACCCTGTATGTGCACAGAACAAGCAATTGCATAAGTTCACCTGTCAGCTTATCATCATGGGGTGTGTGCGAGACCAGACATTGGTTCATATACAGACTGACCACAGGGTGTGCACATATCACCAGCAAAAACAATCTGGAGTCTTAATCAACATATGTGCCAGTCACTGAAAAATGCTGACAACCTACCTCTTGGTGTCATACTGGCTGAGTATATTGATTTCCATCGCCATCTTGAGCTCTGGAAAGTCTTGACAAACCCATCTGGAAAACAGAAACACCAGTGCATAAAGCATCAGCACTGACTGAGACCAAACTGCCCCATGGTATCATGTGAATGGTACAATGGGATGCCAAGAGGCTCAAAAATAGGGCTCTCATGAAGGGTTGGGATGGACACACAAGGGGTGGGGTAGACAAGCAGGTCCAACCAACATGACCCTTATGAAGTCCTGCATCTCACAACAGCTACAGACATCCTCAATGTCTATCCATAGCCTCCTTAGCTTGTTCATCTGAGATTTGTTTTAAAGTGTTCTGGAATCTTTATTTTCTTGGATCACCTGTATGACATTAGCTTTGGAATCTTTGTGAAACAATGCAGCATCAGGCACTCTTTTCCTCACCACAGGCATATTTGGACTTCGGTGAATTTGGTTGTATTGCGGTCATGCCAACTAGTGCCAAGTGGATCCTGCCAAGCTTAGTACCCCAGGCTGGTTGGTATTGGAATTTCAGGGGACCCCATGTCCCCAAATATTTCAGACCTTCACTTTAAATATATATATATATATATATATATATATATATATATATATGTATATTGTATATATGTGTGTCTAGGATGTCCACATGACTTGCAGTGCCACATGAGCACACTTGACAGATTGGGGAGCTGGGTCTGAGTGTCCCCTGCCCTAACCCTCACTCCTTCCTCACTATGCACAGCAACATAATGAAAAGTACTTCACCAACTACAGTACAATGGTTATTCACTTCACCCAGATGGCACACATGGCCACCATTACAATGTGTGTGATCACTATCACCATTCACATAACCTACCTGATGGTGTCAACAATTTCCAGGGCTCCATCATGCTCCTTTCCCTTTTTCTGTAAATAAAGGGTCATGATTAAGGCAACAATTTTAGTGACATTGCACACCATATCACAATGAGCATTGAAAATCTGGGACCTTGTCCCATAACCTGCACCAATCTTGCCACTAAGTACAGCTTAAGCAACATGCAGAAATGATTATGCCTGTAACAATTCAAACTGTAGCAATATTGTGATCCAACATAACTTTTATCAGAAGCTAGTGACACTTCACACTTTTACCACCCTCACTTTCCATCACACCATTGTGTTACTTAATCAAGATGTTATACATTTATGGATACCAAACACGGCTTTTCTGAGCAGACCGCATCACACATGACCAACTATCTTGACACTTCTCCCACCACAAAGCAGATGAGCATGCCCAAAAGGCTGAACAAAAGTTTGAACATACATATGTTTTCAGTTGTTCTTCATGTTACTTCATATCACCAGATGAAACATGTAATGTTTGATAACATTGAAATTATTCTTTAAATTATTCTTTAAAATTATTTAAAAACATAAAATTAAGTAAAATAAATTATTGTATTGAATTATTATTATCATTAAATTATTTTATCAAATTTAATTATTGCGATTATTCTTCATATGACATCATCACACCAAGAAACTTAATGTGCTGTGGTAAGAGGTTACTGGCACAGTTAAGGACCATGTGTGAGTAAAATGGCTCTGGCAAGCACTTGATAGGCCTGTCATCCAGTTCATTTCTCTTAAGGGAAGCCCATGACTCTGAATATCTGTCTTGGTTCCCTGCATGCAGCTTCTATGAACATGGAACACAATATTTATTGAAATGCCACCATCCAGCCAGGCCGATGTACACAGCCCTGGTGAGCAGCTTAACTAAGGCTTGTGATGTAATTTAAACCCATATTTCCTTCCAAATTTGCATATCAATATGCTGGAGATGATCTTACATTATTACGCACCAGTCTCCAGAATGTGGAAGACTTTTGCTTGATCATGTCGGGACAGGGTGCAGACAATCCATATGCTTTGAAGATTTTGGGGTAGGCATTTTTTGACTGGTGTAGCTTATGCCATGTCAGGAAAGGTCATGGTGCCTAGGGGCACATATAAAGTCACCAACATGCAAAGTACCTACAAAATGCTAAAACATGCTTGGTGATGTGGCCAAACACTCATATCAGCACTTTTTCACACTGAAGAAAGGTTGGAATCGGGTTGCGCCGAAATCGAGCGGGAGAGGCTGAACAATGTCAGAATAGATCAAACAGCAGATACAAAGGACAGACAAAGCTGATAACAAAGCAACTGTGCAACAGCCATGCAATCAGACCAGACTGGACCGAATGGGACTGGGCACATCAGGGCGAAATATATCAGTTGAGAGCCTTCAACCTGGGACCTGGCATCAGTCAGATGGCCATGGTGACAACCAGGAGGTTCAGCATGGCAGGGGGTCCCAAATTCAAAATGAAAACAATTGCTTTAAAACATTTGGCTATCCATCTTGAAGGCTCCCAACTGGGACATTTTGCCCCCATACAGCCAGCTCTCATTCAGCCCGGTCTGGTCTGGTTGCATGGTTGCTGATGCCCCCCAACAGCCTTGTCTGCCCTTTATAGGCATAGTTTCTCCATCCTAAAATTTTCAGCCCCTTACATTCCATTTCAGTGCAGTCTGCTCCTGACTCCTGTCCTAATCAAGAGAGTGGAAATAAATCTATTTGGAGCATGATGCCATCTTCCTAAATGTTCCTTTTAGATTTGGAATACTTTTTTATGCATCAGTGATGTCAACCACAGCTTATCGTACAGACAGGCCTAATCAAAGTACAGGTTATGTCAGCAGTGACTTCACCACACCACTGATGTACCTCCCTGAATCCTGTTATTTCCTAAAAAGTTTGGCACATTTCAAATGCAGTAACTTGAAATGCAAGATAGACAAAGCTTGCTGCTAAGCTGGGGTAGGAGGGAGGGGGGTTTCAGCCCTCCCCCCCCCCCACAAGTTGGTCTCCAAGTCCCCCAACTTTGAAAGAAGAGATGAGTGTGCTAAGCCTGGACAGAAGCCTGTATGCTGCATATATCTTCAAGGTAGCATTAGTAGTGGTGTCATAATTTGTCATGGTTTGGCCAGCCCCCAACTTATTTTGTAAAATCGCTCTCAGGTTATAGCATGGCTTTAGATATTCACTTCCCTTTTTTGGTATCCTAGTGATGTTTTCAAAAGCATGCAACAAAAAACAAAGAAATCCAGTTCACTTGACGATGACATCATCATCATCTGGCATGTGCATGCACACACAACACTTCTGTGAAGAATGTGCCATATCTTTTAACTGCGCTGATGGTGGGAAAACAATCTCAGAAAAACTCCAGGATAGATGCTGGTATTATCATATATGGCAAGGCAGCATTTAAGCATGCTTATGCATAAACAGCATAAGTTTCTAAACAATATCCTTGAACTAATGATTAATCCAGTTTTTGAGAGCTTAAGATAGAAACCCATTTTCTGAGCCCTGAAAAGCAAGTGATATCTCCTTGGAGTTTACCAACTTAATCACTGCCTTATTATCCTATGTGGTTCTGCATGCAGCTGCTTGTCCAGCCTCTGCAGCCAGAAACTCACTAACTGCATCAACAATTTTGGACCCATATCTTGCTCATGCATGAAGATTTTTGTTCTTGCCAGCTTCTGCTACTTGCTCTGAACTAATAAATCAGGCACTAATAATGGCATGACTCATTGGCCAGTAGTCAGCATGGCAGCACCAAAACCTCCAAATCCTATCAGTTGCATTGCAAAATGCAAACTGGTTTGATGCAAGCCAAAACATTGTGTGTTTGATAACGCACAGGTATAATGCAAAAGAATTTGGCTGGCAACCTAACTATGGCTCTGACCTATCAGAAACACATAGCAGCAAAAGTAATAAGTAGCCAGTAGATGTGAATCAGATAATCCTGAACGTCTTGGAGACCCCCACTCCCTGACTTCAAATCATAAGCCCTTGACCCAAGCAGAAAAGTTGACTATCCCATTTGGAACATGGTCACACCCACACTAAACATCTTGTTGACTAGTCTGCCACCATTTGCAGATGGGATCATGCACATGCATGATGCCCCTTTAAGCAGCTGCTCTGTACAAGCCTATTATTGGATAAAATGTCAGGTAGACCTGGAACTTTTGAATGATAGCAAAACTTGCAGCTTGAGAGTGGTGCTAAGCTTTGGTAATGCATTAACTAATATTATGTCAGGGTGCTTAACATGCACCTAAGCTTCAATACTTCCAAATTGTTGGACAAAAAATTGCCTTTATCAAGAATGCTGACACACCAAGCCCTCTGCCATCATGTGTTGCCACCCCCCCCCCCCCCCCTTCTAGCCAAAATGCATGCAGCCTCACTATCAATGTCATCTGCCATGGCCAGAAGGGCAGAAGGCAAATCTACATGAAAATCCAGATCGCCCCACCTCCAGTGAAAGGTTCTGGGTACAAATAAGTTCAGTTAGCCAGTTGCCCAAACCCAAAGCCACCTCGACATCATTTAGAAGCAACTCATTCAAAATAGACCCACTAGTCTTAATGTACCACGATTCTGACCACGAGACTGGCCTCTATGCCACACGCAATCACGAAGCTTCTCACCGATGTGCCGGTTGGCAACGGCCACGTAAAGATGGCTGGTTCCGACCCTGCTGGGCTGTGAAGCTTAAGTTCCAATGCTGAGGTTGACATGTCCAAACTCAAGTTCCTTTACTAGGGACTTGACCTAGCGTCATCACAACACAGGCATGTCGGTTGCCTGCTCCCTCCCGTAGCGGCTCAGACGCTTCAATGACGTCGGGAGCTCACCCGCGCCGAGAGCACCCACGACAATGACGTCTTACTTCCGTCTCTGAAGCGGATATGAATCGACCGGAAGCGTATAGCGTGGGATGGGAGAACCCCCTATCACAAACAGTGGGAGTCGGGTGACGAAACCGACGAAGCCTGTGGAGATGGACGCAGGGACGCCATTGAGTAGCTAGAAGTTGCTACCATATTTACCGTTTTCCCGTGAACCGCTGGGATACAAACATTAAGACATCAATTCCAAAATTTGTGCGGGTTGAAACATGCAACCGCGGTTTGAAAATATATTTTTTCGTGTTTTGAGAAATGTGTTTTATTTGAAGCCATGTGTCTGATAGATTTAGCATACCTCAAAAGCATCGTTTTGAAAATGGCTCAGCGTCTCTTCACAGTGAAGGAAAAAATGCTGCTGGGAGTAATGAACTCTAGTGAGGTAAATCAATCAAATTGTGGAAATACTATTTCAGAAAACTGTTAACACAAACAAACTTTAAAAATGTATTTATTTTATTTAATCCAAGTTTATATCAACACTAACGCTTAAACAGACAAAAAGAACGTTATCATGGCACGCTTGATACTAGATGGTCTCAAGAGCGCAATGCTCGCATGCACCATAACGTTTAGGCACGGCGTGTGGCGCGGCGCACGGCGCGAGTGTAGGGAACGTTGGCCGTGGGGACTTTCGGCGTTATATATCAGTGTGTGTTTAAAGCCTGAAGACCGTTTGCCGAAGAATTTGTCAGTTTTTAAGAGGCAGTTACTTTTGTACTGAACCCGCTGTGCCTAACGCTATACTTATCGCCCTCAAAGATCGCTAAACATCGTGCTTGAAGATGTCGATTGGTGTGCCCATCAAGGTCCTCCATGAAGCCGAGGGTCATATAGTGACACTTGAAAGCAACACTGGTGAAGTTTACAGAGGAAAGTTGATTGAAGCAGAAGACAACATGAATTGCCAGATGGCCAACATCACAGTAACATACAGAGATGGAAGAGTCGCGCAGTTGGAAAACGTGTACATACGGGGATCAAAAGTTCGTTTTCTGATTCTGCCTGACATGTTGAAAAATGCTCCCATGTTCAAAAACTTCAAGGTAAGTTAGTTTTATACAAGCTTCTGTTATTAGTTTTTTAAAAATGTGTGTTTGTGCCTGGCAGCTGATCAATATCAATGCCCTGAACATGGTGCATGTCTGCCAAACCTAGCCAAGGCTAAATTGTACAGGATTTTATCATGTTGTTGGCGTGAAAAGTCATTTGACAAGGTTTTGCCTGAAACTGTTGTTTAAACACCATTCCTTGAAGTATTGTATCTTGGCTCTGAGTTTAATAGCAACTGTGTATCAGACTGTGATTGCCCCCATCTAGGAAATGTACTTATATGTTAGCAGTGATATTGTTGCTTTGCAATACATGTTTAGTTTAACATGTATTTTGGTGCAGTCTGGTTTGAAGCCTGGTGGGTACTTGCTAATGTGCAGACTATGGCAGATCTTGATAAGATCTTGTTGGTCAGTTTTTCATCAGAAAACACAGTTTAGAGTAACCTTAAAATTTGTGACTGAAAGTTCTGAAGCTGGGCCATTAATACCACCTTTTTGGGTATCCCATGCTACCTTCTGACCATTGTTTGGGGTTTGGTTAGGTTAGGTTAGGCTAGCAGAAGCTGATGCTAGGAAGGGGCAGGCTACCCCATTAGGAGCAAGATTCAGGTGGTACTGAACATGGTGTGAATGTCCTTGCCATGGCTTGCTAACTGTAGTATCTACTTGTGTGTATTTGCACATTGTGGGTGGCATAAAAGGACCTTTGAGCATGTCTGTAATACAAGACTGTTGTTTCTGCTCATCCATGGGCAGCTTCATATGCAGGTTAGATGGTTTGTGTTGAACATTTTTTTAACTTTCAATATGTCATTATAGCTTTGTAAATTGACCTGCACCTATGACTTGTATTATGATTTGCTAGACCGCTCCACATCGTCTTTGCAGGCTTAGCTTAACTTAAAGCAGTTGTGTTCAATTATAGGCATACCTAGTTGATCATACGCAATCTATTTCCTGTCTTTTGTTTCCACCTGCACCCCATTCATCCAAAGCATTCTATATCTTCAACTAAGACAGCAGGAACAGTAATCTGGTGAAACTAGTAGTGCAAGATCTGCTTTTTATGCAGGATCTCTATGACAATTAACAATGATGTATGATTTCAGGGACAAAAGGGACCTACTGGAGGGGCAGGCAGAGGAAAGTCAGCCATTCTCAGAGCTCAAGGTATGTGGTGGTCTGTTTGCATTTTATGCCTGCTTGTTGACTAGCACAATGCTTTCATTAGGTGTTAATCTTATGATGGTGGCTTTGGCACTGTATGACATGTGTATTGCTTTCTGCATAACAATTGCAAACAAATAATTTTGATATCCCTTTTACCATTTTTTGGGACTTTTCTGCTTTTGCAACCCGGGCTTTCCCATAGGAGAAGACTACAGATAAAATATGAATGACAATAGCTGTGACACACTGTGCCCAATCTGACATTGCCTCACTTTACAAATGATTGATTTGTACATATGTTAACACCCCTGTACAACCCTGATGATGCCAACTAATACTGACATGGTGTCAGTGGTGTGGGGTGGTGGGGAAAGATGGCATAGTGCCATCCAGGGGGTTATGCTCAGCTCCTCAAGCTTTGGATGGATAGGGTGACACCTGAATTCAGATCAATCAACCAGAGTGTATGAATGCTGTAACATCATTGAAAATTTGGTTAGCACTGGTGTATATGGATTAGTGCAAATGCACCAACTGCATGCACCCTGTGCTGCATGATGGAAAGCCAGTCTACAGGCAGTCACTGCTACCTGACATGTACCAGCCATTGGTGATGTGTGTATGCTGCTATAACTCCAATGTATAGTGAGAAGAGGACTCAGCAGTTTGTGACTGGGCTCAACCACAATGGACCAGTTGTCTGTGATATCTAGTATCACATCCTCATGCATAGTTCAGATATCTCCCTGCTGCCAAATCCTTAATGATATCACAGTAACTGCACAGTCATTGCAGTCAATTACTGTTGTCACACTTTTATGCCTGCACCACAGTCAATGACCACTGCCACATCTTTTTGTATTGGAGTGCACGCCTCAGATGCTCGTTCTTGGCAAATGGAAGGGGACTCCCTACTTGGAGTAAGCCCATTTGACGTGTGACGTAGCTTTCTGACTACCTATGATGTCACGGCCCAAGCACTAGTGTTTCTAAGTTGTCCCACAGGCAAGGCAAAGGGGTGTTTTTCACAAGTAAGTTGTCGCTGTTTGCAAAGCAACGTCTAGCTGGCGAATGGGCAGATCCTGACCGCATGTGGATATTGAGATTGACATGGATGTTTTTATTATTAAGCTTTGAGTAATTGGTGCAGAACAAATGTTTCAATGTTCTAATGTGCTAGATTTCTCTGTGCATGTGATGAAAGTTCATTTCCTATATATATATATATATATATATATATATATATATATATATATATATATATATATATAGATAATGGAACAGTATGCCAGGCATGCCATAAAAAATATTGCTGCATCACTATTGTTTTGAGCGCAGAGGTCATATGACCTCTGCAGTTGTTGGCCCCAACATACATTGTGTTCATTTAAAAGAGTATGTTAATTGAACCATATTGTGAGGCTGACTGTACATGGAAGACCGTGACAGGAACAAATGAGATGGTAGATGCAGCTGGCCAGAGAATATCTAGTTGGACGCACTTTGGTGGTGCACAGCTGATCTGTGAGATCAGCCATTTGGGTACTGTAAAGGGGTTCCATTTGTTCTGATGGCTAAGTCGCCAGCATGCGAAGACCTTTAAGAGAACACTTGGTCTTCATGTTGTGTCACATATGGGCTGTGTCTGACGGCTGTTCGTTTGCCGCCAGCTGCGCGTGGACGTGGCCGCTCTGGCGGCTTCCGGGGCGGCGGCTGGGGCGGAGGACGCCGCAAGTGAGCCGTCCGGCACCAGTCCGCCCTCATCACGGCGTGTCGGGCGCTGCCGGGCAGCAGCCGGTCCAGCCGGGCACACTGGCCTGTCGCCGTTGAGCGCCGCAGCATCGCCGGCAGCGCCGACGGCGCGGACGGCCGTGGCAGCGCGCGTCACCACAGCGTGCTCTCCTGCTGGCCATCGAGCCCAGGTCCCTTCGGGACAGACACGCCCAACCCGCTCGTCCGCTGTATTTCATATTGTGTCTCAATACAGGAAGTCATCCGTTCGGTTTGTGTGTGAGGCGCCGCTCAGAGGTCGGTGACCTGCTTCACCTGGTCCTGGTAGTCGGAATCGGCGCTGCTGGCGCTGCCCTGGTGCGGCGTCAGCTCCAGCCGCAGCCCGCCCGGCGGCGACCGGGCCAGCTCGGCCTCGTTAACGCTCACCAGCGGTCCCAGCTGCTCGGTGGCGCGGTCCGGCGCCGGTCGCGTGCGCACAGAGCCCTGGTCGCTGGCCCAATTGCCGACTGACGCGTGCCGCGGTGTGGCGGCGGCCGGCGCCGCGGCGTGCCGCCAGTCGTGGTGGTGGCAACTGCGGTGCACGTGGTGGACGGCGCACACGTGGTGGATGCGCTGGCCGGTGGGGCTGTGGTAGCCGCTGCCCGGGCCGGCCATGCGCTCCAGCAACCGTGGGTAGTCGTCGTCGTCCGGGTCGAGCCGGTGCGTGCGGCCGCTGGGCGAGCGCCACACGCCTTCCAGCCGCCCGCGGCCCTGGTCGTCGGACGTCAGCACCACGCCGGCCGGCAGTCCTATGCGCACCAGGCGCCGCACCAGCGACATCTCGGAAGTGGTGCGCTCGCGGCCGACAGGCGGCGCCTTTGGTCGAGCGAACAGCGCTGCCACGCGGGCGCCGAGGCTGCGCCGCGGCCGCCGCTCGGCGTCGCCTGTCGTCTGGTTCGAGTCTGACGGCCGGACGCGGTCTTGGCGCGAACCGCTGTCGCCCTCGGTCGGCCGGCCGCGCCGGAACAGGTTCTTCAGGCTGGCAATGACACCACGCAGCCGGCTGGTGCTGCCGCTGCGGCTACTGCGGCCGCTGACGGACCGCTCGGGCGTCAGTGCGGCGCTCTCGTCCGCCGCCGCCGTTGCC